AATGTTCTTCATTCCTTGAATGGATGGGCATCCAGAATACATTCTGTGTATACATTCACACAAATTATCATTTACATTCCCATGTGCAGGTCCATTTGTAGGCACAAATAGTTGTTTCTTATACCCACTTTACAGCTTTCTTAATTTCATGACATCTAAATTATTGTGACAGTTAATTCATTAAAATATTTTTTATCCTTCCTGTGGCTGCCTAGTTTTCCATTGTATGATGAGACTGTAACTTAATCAGTTTGCTCTGATGAGTATTTAGCTTGTTTCCAGTCTTTTGTGACTGTATAGTTTTGCAGTGCACAGCCTGGTGCTCATTTTATTTTTGTATACATGAGTTTATCTGAAGGATACATTCCCAGAATGGGAATTGCTGAGCTATGAGGCATATGCATTTATAAGTGTAAAATATTGCCAAAGTGCCATCCAGAAAAGAGGTCTACATTTTTACTACCACTACAGTAGATACAAAGCTGCAAATTTGTCTATTTCTTCTTGTTCCTCTCCAGTTTAGTCATTTAGTGTTTACTTTGTCAATAAGGTGCATACAAAGCAGTGGTGCTCTATGCTGATTTACCCATCCCATTAACTTAAGTGAGGTTGAGTGACTTCTGCATTTAAGAGCTATTGGATTTCCCTCTCTGTCAACAATCTTTGTATCCTTTCCCTATTTCTGTTTACTTTGCTGTGTCCCCTTGTTTTTCTTTCTGTTAATTGATTTTGGAAGGAATGCTTTGCATATTAGAATTAACCCTTTGTCTTGATAGGAGCTACAAATATTTTCTTCACGTTTATGTCTTGGGTTTTTGTTACTCCCACCCTTTTTTTTTTCCTGTATCCAATCCATTTCTTTTCATATGACTTCTGGGATTTGGGTCTTCAGAGTTTTTCCCAATCTGAGATTGTTAACTCTGTGTGTGTGTGTGTGTGTGTGTGTGTGTGTGTGTGTGTGTGTGTGTGTGTACACATATGTGCACACATGCTGCTACTAGGGCTTGAACTAGGGGCCTGGGTGCTGTTCCTTAGCTTATTCGCTTAAGGCTTACTACAGTCTATTTCTTCACTTCCAGCTTCTTTGCTGTTTAATTGAAGATAACATTCCTAATGACTTTCCTGTCCAGACTGGCTTCAAATCCCAATCATGAGGTAGATTTCAGCCTTCTGAGTAGCTAGTATTACAGTTATGAGCCACCCGTGCTTGGCTGGTTGATTATTTTTGTTTGTTTTTCATTCTCCCGTTGGTCAATTTTTCCAGTATATGTATATATATATATATATATATATACATATATATAATGTATACATGCATACATACATACACACATACAGTTTACCTTAAATTCTTTTTTTTTTAAATATAAAAATCCATTTTATTGCATTAGTTAACTTTTTTTTTTTTTTTAAATTTTATTTTATTTTATTTGAGAACATACTGTACAGAGGGGTTACAATTACATGGTCAGGATAATGCATACATTTCTTACCAAGCATTGCAGCCTCCTCCTTTGTTTACCCTTCACCTCCCTTCCCAGCCTCCCCCCTCCCCCCCCACCCAATCATACCCCCCCTCCCCCCGCCTCCGACATTGTAAAGCTGGTTTTGACATGACATTTTGTACTTCTCATTGTTGCAACAGGTCCACCTGAATCCTTAAACAACTTGTTTGTCCCCATCTCCTCCACATGTTATACTGATATCAAATATAGTGAAAGCGGGGGTTACACTGTGGGGGAGGGACATACAAAGCAACCAAGAAATAATCTTATAAATGCATTAGAAACACATGCATGAAAGAAACAAAAACATTAAAATACATATTTGAGGGTTCGTTTTCCTAACATCACATTCTCTGACTTTTTCCGCTTGACTCATACCTATACTAGATATTGCAAATAAGGGAAACCATGGGACCTATGTTTCTTTGGGCCTGGCTTACTTCACTTAATATAATTTTTTCCAAGCCTTTCCATTTCCTAACAAATGGGGCAATGTCGTTCTTTCTGATGGAGGCATAGAATTCCATTGTGTATATATACCACATTTTCTTGATCCATTCATCTATTGAGGGGCATCTGGGTTGGTTACCTTAAATTCTTTCAGTCATCCAGAATGTATGCTGGTGTAGTTTGAATTACAGACTCTCCCTTCTTTTCCCATGCAACAGTTACTCACTTTTGCCTTGCCTTTAATTTGTAGCTTTGGTGTTGTCCAAGTATTTCTTACACTTTTGCAACTTCAGGTGACAGATAGTCTCCCAATGGGGCAGAGTGATCCAGGGAGAAGACAGTCATGTTCAAGTTATACCATATGTGGGTACGGATATAGGCCTTGCAGCTTTGGCAGCTGACTTGATCTTCCTGAGCCGTTGTCACTTCACTTTGAAGATGTGGTTGATAATACCACATCTGTCCGTTGGGTGTGACAGAGGTAATGCCGATGCACTGCCTGTGGGAGTCTAATTCAGTAGACACTTGATAGCAGGGGCTATTGTTACTACCATCCTAGCTATATGGAAGATGTGTTCCTTCCCTGGGCAGCCATTCTTCAGTCACAGCTGGTGTTTTGGAAATCACCCTGGCAGGTTCCCTGCCGAAGCCAAAGGGCATTTCAAACACCCTGGTAAGAATGAGGCTGGCATTTGTAGGGCCATATTCATAACCTCTGGGCAGATGGCCAATTGTTAGGGTGTCCATAAAAATAAAATTGCATTTGTTGGCTCACAAAGGTGGCCTGATTCTGTGGTTTGGTTTTGTAATCTGATCTATGACAGTAACAGCACTAATTGTTCTTTTGTACTATCTGGGTGCCTGTGATGATATGGGAAATAATTGTACGCATTTATTTAAGAACCCAGCCCCAATCCTGTTATACCTGTGGAAGTTGTTGAATTTGGTGCCAAACTTAGCTGCCTAGACAAAAATGGACTCCTTATGTATGTGTATATGCTGGTTCTGGGGCTTGAGCTCAGCGTCTGGATGCCATCCTGAGCTTCTTTTTTGCCCAAGGTTAGTATTCTACCTCTTGAACCATTGCTCCACTGCTGGCTTTTTAGTTAGTTTATTGCAGATAAGAGTCTCAGGGACTTTCCTGCGGAAGATAGCTTTGAATCACAATCCTTAGATGTCAGCTTTCTGAGTAGCTGAGATTACAGGCATGAATCATGGTACCCGTGAGCTACCTGTGCACAAGCTGATTTTTGAAGTTAACATCTGTTTGTAAATGCATATCTTAGGACTAAGAGCTCAATAAGGAAATTTGTTGTGGTTGCATTCCATACCATCTCATGTCTTTTGATGATCTAGATTTTATTTTTCTCTGCAAACTTGCTTTTCCCTTAAGCTTTTCAAATAGTTCTCCTCTTCTCCCTAAGCTCAACTTCTTTGATCATCTTTAGTTGATTGCTGCTGTTTCATTGTGTCTAAAAGAACTCCTTCCATGTCATTCCATTTTCAAAACTGAAAATGCCTTTTTTAAACCTTTTTCTTCCCCAGCTTCTCAGTAACAATCAATAATTCATAAATCTTCTCCTGGCTGTCTTATTAGACTTTTCTTTTCCCCCTTTTGCTTGCTTTTCTTCCATCCCAAGTGTGTTTCTAGACTCTTGCTTTTCTTAGATGAACTGTGAAACACCGAAGCCATTCTTATCTATCAAGGTGAACTTCCATTTGGGAAACTTGCTCTGGTTTTACACAATAAATAATCTCCCTAGTCAACAGCAGTCCACAGGTATGTGTTGAATGTTCTGCCAGACTCAGAACAGAAGTGGGGAGTTGCCTGCTGCAGAGGTCTGCTTCCTGTGGGGAAGACAGGGAGGGACACAGAAGCCAACAAATGGGCTTGTTTTCGTCACTGGGTGTTGAGACTACATAGGTCATGTGCTAGAAATGACAAGGCATGGGAGAGGAGTGCTTATTCCTTCTCCTTCTAATTCATTCACTTGTGGTCTGGTTTTAAAGCATGAATTTTGTTTTCTTTTTAACTTTTATGTTTACAGGTATGTTCTTATAACCTAACCAATCCTTCCTCCCCACCACACAAACACTTCATTAAGCCTCATCCCTCAGAAAGCCAACTGCCCATTTTTAAGAATAAATTATGTTATTGAATTGCTTTCTTTTTCATCATCTTATGCTTCCTTTCTGATTCATAATTTTTTAGCCATACTGAGGTTTGAACTCAGGACCTCATGCTTGGTAGTCTAGTACTTTACCACTTGAGCCATGTCCCCATCTCTTTTTACTTTACTCATTTTTCAGATAGTGTCTTGGCATTTTGCCTACAGCCAGCCTTGGACTACAATCTTCCTACCTATTCCTTTTGGATAGGTAGTTAGAAGACAGTCAGGTAGTATCACCCCCTTTTATTTGTTGAGATGGTTCTCGCTAACTTTTATCCTGGACTGTGATTCTCTCCATCTCTGCCTCCCAGTTTTCTGGGATTACAGACAAGCCCATACATCAAGCCCTTTTCTGATTCTTGACATTTTTCTTTGTCACATTTTATATCAACAAATATCATCTTTAGTTATTCTTAAGTCTAAAAGACATTTCTACAAAATAAATCTTATGTTTTGACATCCTAGGGTTCAATTCTCAAATGAGTGTCTGAGTAAGAATGCATGTTGGTATACAACGCTGGTGTGTGTGTGTGTGTGTGTGTGTGTGTGTGTGTGTGTGTGTGTGCGCGCGCGTGAGCGCGCGCGCGTGCGCGCGCGCGCATGTTTTAGGGATAGAATGAAGCCTTTGTGCATTCTAAGCATACACAGAGCACTGAGTTATGCCCCCAGCCCTTCAGTTGTCTCTAGTAAAGAACTGAGCGTGGTGGTATATTATGAAATTTGTGATTTTAGGACAGGAAGGTGGGTGACTAGTGAAGACACAAGGACTTTGCTCAGAGCGGTCTCCCAGGGTTAGCTGGTGGAAATCTTGTTGCTTTCTGGTTAACTATTTTGACCTGAAAATGAATTCTCAGTGTTGTTTTTTTACTTCCAGGGATGACTCTGTTCCTGAAGACAACATCTGGAGGGGCATCCTCTCTGTCGTCTTCTTCTTCCTAATCATCAGCGTGCTGGCTTTTCCCAATGGTAAGTGATGTCTTGTGCTGTCACATTTCTCCTGCACATCCTGTACTTGTGACTTTTTTTTGAGACATGAGCCATTTAGAAGCAGAAACTGGAAGATGGAGAAAAGAATAAACTGGGTTTTGTGTAGTGGTCAGAAGCCCAGGATTTGGAGGCAGTCTAGCTCTGCCACTGCTTCCTAGATTTGTGACTCCATTGAAGCCCTGGCTTTCTTAGAGTGTTTCAGTTTATCTTCTGTGAAATGGAGATAACAAGGAGGTACTGTTGTGAGAGAAAGCTAAATTAATACATGTAGAATCCCATGTATTAGTATGTTTTCCTTCTCTGCAACAAGATACCTGAAGCTGTGTGCTTTGTAAAGAAAAGAGGTTAATGGAACTCCCAGTTGTTTTTTGTTTGTTTGTTTCTTCCAAGTTGCTTTCTTTTTTGCTTAATCCTTCCTGCACCTTTCCCTAGAACATTCTATACGTATATGTCCTCTGATCATTTTTAAATGATAATTTTTGTGTTATATTTTTCTTTATACCTCTGATATTTGAGAATTATTCCAGTTTTAGAAACTAAACATCCAGCACCACATTTCTGTCTCTAGTGAGAGTCCCTTTGGTTTCACGTTGTGGCCGTGGCATAGTGGAAGCACTTATCAAAGGAGAGATACATGGTGAGACCTGAAGCCAGAGAGACTAGGGAGGGACCAGAATTGGTTATTATGCTAACAAGGGTCCCAAGAGAATTGCACTGATAATTTTTTGAGGGCAACACCACCAGTAATCTCCCACCTCTTAAAGGTTTCATCTCTTAGCATTGCCATACTTTGAGAGCAAATTCCCAGGGAGAAACCACATCAAAAACAAGCAAACTCTGCCCAGAGATTGACAGGTTATGAGCTTCCAATAAGCTGTTCTTTCTGTTGCTGTTATTTTTGTCAGCTGAGTTACACAATACTCAATTATTGTTACTCACCTTCTCCCCACTAAGGAATATTAATTAAATATTTCATCGTCCCAAATAGCCTATCACAACTAACTTTGCTGATTATTTTTGTAAGATGAATTTTTATTGTCAGGAAAAAAAGATAGTTGATTAAGCTGAGTGCCAGTGGCTCACGCCTGTAATCCTAGCTACTCTGGAGGCTGAGATCTGAGGATCACAATTCAAAGCCAGCCTAGCAGAAAAGTCTATGAGACTCTTATCTCCAATAAACCACTCAGAAAAAGCTAGGCCTTGTGGCTCAAGTGGTAGAGTGCTAGCCTTGAGCACAAAGAGGTTCAGGGATGGCTCCTAGGCCCTGAGTTCAAGCCCCAGAACTGTCAAAAAAAAAAAAAAAGATAATGATTACCATGAATGTCCCAACCTCCCAAACATGATTCTAGAGAATGAGGCAAAGCTTTTTTTTTTAAAAAAACCAAGTTTAGTCTGCAGCCATGTTTTCAATTGACTTATACTTTTTCTCTGAATTGTTTCTTCCAAGTTGCTTTCTTTTTTTCTTAATTCCTCCTGTACTTTTCCCTAGAGCATTCTATACATATGTGTCCTCTGGTCATTTCTAAGTGATCACTTTGTGTTGTGTTTTTCTTTATACCTCTGATACTTGAAAATTATTCCTGTCTTGTAGGATCTGTTCCTCGGGCCAGCTCAGGTTCCTTCTCACACCCTGGGCTAGAACTGGGCCTCATGCTTCCCTGTGCTCCAGTCTATCTGGAGGACAGGAGTTCACAACACTCAGAGGAGCAGATGTTAAATGGGTGTGAATTGACTGAGAAAGAGCAGTTGCTAGTTTTTACTTTCATGGCTTTAGACTTCCTCTGAGTTACTTGGAGAGGGGTAGACACATGACCATTAGCTAGTCTTTGCTATGACTAGGTGCTAGGGCAGCTCACTGTGTCCTAGAAGGAGACCAAGGGCAGCAAAGAGTATGAGTTTCTACTTCCTACTTCTCTAGGCTGTCTCTTCCCCCACCCGCTCCCCCCACGCTCTCCTTTCACTTGTGGCTTAAAAATAATTCTTATAAAATGCTATATCCATCCCAGTATAGCAAATGGCCCTGAAATGCAAGTGTAATTTTAACTATTTCACTACATCATGGAAGTGAAACAGAGAAACCTGTTGGAGGCAGTTTAGTTGAGAGACTTCTTCTAGCAAGCAACCTTCTGTTTCCTGCTTCGGAGATTGCTATCGACCACTGGTCCCACCTCCTCTACCCAGCCTTGTATGTACCCCATGCCTGGCCCCAGCCTCCTCTCAGGAAGTACATGTTGACTTAGGTGATGAAGCAGAGCACTAAAAGGAAGTTCATGGAAGCAAGCAGCCCTCTCTTCCTTGTATCTCTGCAAGACTGACATCATTGTTAAAAGACGCCTGGAGGAAAGTGAAATACTAGTATTTCCAGAGCTTACCACTCTGTCTTTTCTCTTCATTTGACTTCTTTGAACTCAGAAGATCACACCTTTTATTTTATTTGTTACAGAGTCTCCCTTATTATAACCCAGTCTGGCCTCAAACATAAGGTCTTTCTCCCTTTACCTCCCAAGTGCTGGGATGATAAGTATGAGCCACTATGCCTGTCCTAATCATGTCTTTTTAATGATAGAAAGTTATCCAGAAGATTTACTGTCTTCTAAATTAAAAAAGTGTATTTATATAATATATGATATATAATATATATAACATATATAATAATATTACATATGTATTTCCCTCATTATGTGACTTCAACTTCAGTACTATTTTCTTTGAAAAACAGTAATTCATTCTTAGGTCTGAATATGCTTTCAGATAATTTTATTCTAAGTTTTCCTAGAAGAATGTGAACTTTAAAATAATCATTCTGAAAAGAAGAAGCAGGCTAAAAGGGCATACCTGGGTCTCTGGTTCAAAGTACAAATGGGTCACTGTTGGACAGGCAACTTCTTGTTTGGGTTAAAAAATTATACTTCCCCAAATTTTCAACCTTCATTATTTATTTACAAGTATAACCATTTCTGGTTAATCAAACATGATCTTATACTTTTTGAGATAGTTTTAAAAATGCTACTTTTCTCTCATGGCATGCTAGCTCTTTTGAGATTAAACTTGATTGTAGTATCTGATGGAAGATTGATAATGGATATTAAAAAGTGGCAGTCTGCTTCACCATCTGAAAGGTGTCCCATTTCTTCTATATAATAAATATTATATGTTATAATATGTAATATATTTTATAATACATTTAATATATAATAAATATATTATGTACATGTTAAATACCATATAAACTATAGAAACTATAGAAAAACCTGCTGATTGAGTGCATCTTGACTGCAGGGACAGAACCCTGTGGGCTGCATGGCCCAGTGCAATGCTCCTGCTTCCGAGTGGTGTCAGGAAAACTTGAAGGCTGTGTGAACAGGAGAGTCCTCTTTCTGCACTCAGGAAAGTGCTGCTGTAATCTCCAGGACTTGCTTGTGTCTGACATTCTTTCAACCTTGCTTCCTAAAAGAGTTCCTAGATTTTTACCATTTCAAAGGAGATAGCTATTTGTAGCCCTTCCTGTAATTCTCACTTATCTTAGAACCAGCATTAAAAGAGTTGAGGGGCTGGGAAGGTGGCTCAGTGGTAGAGTGCTTGCCTCGCATGCATGAGGCCCTGGGTTCGATTTCTCAGTACCACATAAGTAGAAAAGGCCGGAAGTGGCGCTGTGGCTCAAGTGGTAGAGCACTAAAAAACAACAACAAAAATAAAATAACTGTATCACTATATTACTATATTTTATTAAAAATATAGAAAATAATTTAATTAACAGGATAGTTAATACATTATTTATTACATTACAATAATATTATATTGCTTTACATATATGAATATATATTATGTATATTATATAACATAAACATATTTTACACATAAATATATCTATTTTATATTATATTACGATAATATGCATTTATATTATAATATGTAATTATATAGTTATAATGTATATTAAATATGTCACAAGTATAAATATATAAATTTATATATAAATATATCAAATATATAATATATGGTTAATATAATATAAACTGTATTATATTATTATAAATTACATTGTATTATACATTATTTTATTATAATAAAATAAATTTTATTACAATTATAATGTAAGATTATTTTATATTATAATAATAAGGTAATAAAATAGCAATGATCTTACTATAATAAAGCAATATAAAATAAAAATTATTAAATTATACTAAATAATAATATGCATTTATTATATGCTAGATATTATACACATAAGTAAATATAAATATATAAATTGATATAAATATATCCAATATTTTATATAGTTAAAAATAAGCTGCATTATATATACATTGCTTCTTAGAAGGTAGGTAGCAGTGACAAACCTCACAATTTAGGCTGGGTGGGAGTGCGGTGAGGCATACTTGATGAATGTATGGCAGCCTGGATTGGATATGCGGTTGTTATACAACCTGAATTGGATTTGATATCACCTACTAACAGTGCTACTTTATATCCCAGGACTTTTTGTCACCCTTAGTGGGTGAAACCTTCTAGTAATTAATTACCTGCTGACATCTCAAAAGGCATCCTACTCCCTTTGCCTGGTCTTTCCTGTTTTCCCTCACCTTGCTCATGGATTTCAGTTCTTTCTAGTGTCACCAGCACTAAGCACCCTTCTCTGTCTCTCTCCAGTGTACAACTGGCACTGAAACCAGTCCTGACTCAAACCTTGGACTCCCCCTTGCTTCTCTTCCTGAGGTGACCCTGCACTGTAGGCCATGGGAGGCACTCAGAGTTCCTCACTACTTAACCTGCTGATTGAGTGCATCTTGACTGCAGGGACAGAACCCTGTGGGCTGCATGGCCCAGTGCAATGCTCCTGCTTCCGAGTGGTGTCAGGAAAACTTGAAGGCTGTGTGAACAGGAGAGTCCTCTTTCTGCACTCAGGAAAGTGCTGCTGTAATCTCCAGGACTTGCTTGTGTCTGACATTCTTTCAACCTTGCTTCCTAAAAGAGTTCCTAGATTTTTACCATTTCAAAGGAGATAGCTATTTGTAGCCCTTCCTGTAATTCTCACTTATCTTAGAACCAGCATTAAAAGAGTTGAGGGGCTGGGAAGGTGGCTCAGTGGTAGAGTGCTTGCCTCGCATGCATGAGGCCCTGGGTTCGATTTCTCAGTACCACATAAGTAGAAAAGGCCGGAAGTGGCGCTGTGGCTCAAGTGGTAGAGCACTAAAAAACAACAACAAAAATAAAATAAAAAAGAGTTGAGATGGTAAGGGAGCTTGATCTACCTTTTCTGTTTACTTTCTGCTTTTAAACTTCTGAGTCTAGCCCTTTTCTATTTGTTAAAAATAATGTTGTTTCCCTGTCTTCACAGGTATCTATCTATTCTGCTTCATAGATATAATTTTTGACCAGTTCTCACCATCCAAGTCCTTCCTTCTGCCATCCATAGCTCAGGAAGCAGATGTGTCTGGATGAAGCAGAGTATTACTGTGGACACTCAGCAGTGGAGTACATTTGGATTTTGGTGGATATTATAAATCAAGTTCTTGAAATAAACCTGATTTGTCAAAAGAAAGTAGTTAAAAAATGAATTCCAGAACAAAAATTAAAATGTGATGGTTGCCTAGGCAAGATTCAAGGTTGCAAGCAACAGAAGTTGGCTCTACATGTTAAAGGATGTGGATAGACTCATCTAGCAAGGAAGGCTTGGAAACCAGGGGCCAGGACAGACTTTTAGGAATAGATCTCTCCTGCCAGGAAGGTGGGAAACAAGCTCAGGTGTCCCTGGGCATGTGCAGTTCATAATGTTGTCAATTCTCAAAGTGTAGAAAGACCTGGGAACCCCAAACTAGGTAGGCTCCTAGCAAGAAAGAGCACTGCTTTTTATGGATCTGTGAGTTGTAACTTTGCAGTTAGAGATAAAATTGCTTTGTAGCTGAAGGCCTTAGCTTACTTGCTTCTTTCCTTTTATGAGTATTGGTGTATCCCTTGCAGCAAAGGTAAGTTTTGTCCTGTGATACGTTGAATTTCATTTGTGTGGAATCTAGGTCATAAGAAAAAGCCACTGTACTAGCGTGTTCCAGGGACCTCGGTTGTTGCTGTTGTTGTTGTGGGTTTTGTGTGTGTGTTTCCAACACATAGGCTTGTTCTTTTTCATTTTTCAGCCATCTATTGAGCCTCCCCCCACACACACTTTCTCTTTCTCTCACTCCCTGCTTAGATTCAGACATAAACACACACCCACACCCGCAGATACTGTCCTGAACCCCCTTCTCTGTCAAAGGGGCAGCCAGATTTCCCTTGAGAAGCAGAATGTGTATTACACATGCCAGAGGCCAGCCTCCTGACCTCCTCAATGTTACAATGTTGTTACCATGGGAAGTTATGTTCCCACTTTTGAAAATAAATCTTTACAAAACTTCCTATGCAAAGTGGAGCCTGTGATGATTTCTATAACTAACTGTCACAGTGTGGGTAAAACATTCCAACCTTGACTTTGACCCTAGAGTGGAAGGCAGGAAGAAAGGGAGGGAGTGAAGGAGGAAGAGAGGAAGAAAGGGAGGGAAAGGAAGAAAGTGGAGGCCTTTTTGCTATTGTTATCTACAGGTAGATCATCGTGGTTTTCTTCAGTTTTCTCCTATTTCAAACCAGTTTATTCTTTCTGACTTTTTATGTTCTATCTGCAGGTCCATTTACAAGACCCCATCCAGCCTTATGGAGAATGGTTTTTGGTGAGTTGCATTAGTAGATGCAAAAAATATATTCTTAAAAATTTTTTTTTCTATGTGTGACATCACAGTTACACTTAACCATTCTGCAGTTAAACTTTGTGTTTGTTTTGTTTTTACTTTTTTAGTGTGCCTAATACAGATTTTTTATTACATGTCTTTGACAACAACTTTGGTGTTGGTTTTAATGCTCTCCACATACCAGCTCCTCTCCACTTGCCCCTTTTGATGTCATGGCTCTGAGTGTGCACAGGTTTGACTCCAGCAAATTCCCCTCATTTTCCTTTGTGCCTCCATCCTCTTAATACCCAGAATGTTAGTCTTGTCAGCTTGAGGGAATGCAAAAACAGCAGCAACTCAGCCTCCTCAGCGCTGTGAACATGAGAGAATTCTGACAAAGAGCCCTTATCTGAACTAGTTTATGTATCAACAAGCATGTCAGTACTATCTTAGTTTCATTTGATTTTTTTTTTTTGCATTCCAAAAAGAGAAATTGCCTGAATATAAAATAAATCTTCAAAAAGTTCGACTGTTTGTCTTCATCTTACTTAAACAAGACATCAGATACAATTATTTTAGGCTTGGGAAATATGATCTTGTGTAAAAACGTTAAAAGGATTCTAAAGAATGGTTATTTTGCTAAGTGCTTCCTGTCTTTCAACTGTCAGAGATCCTCGTTCTCTGAGTTTATTGGTGGATTTTCACTCATTATCTCCTCACTGCAAGTGGCAGTGTAGCAGACCCTGCTGGCCTATGGGCCTCCATGGAGGATCAGAAACACAGGATGTGCCCTGTGTGTCCTTGGGAGCCACCCTTAAGTCAGGGGAAGGAAGATAGCTATAGTGGACAAATTTTAACAAATCTTATCAGCTATCACCATTGTTGAGAAGTTAGTTAAAGCTGGGTGAGGGGCACTCACGGGTGACTGCTTTAAAGCTTGAGTAGGAAGGGGAGGCTTAACTGAAAATTTGGCAGCAAAGAAAGTCCAAGACATCTGGGAGACATGCCTTCCAGCCAGAGAAAGGCTGCTAAACTGGCCCCAAAGCTAGGAAGATCTTTGCATGTTCCAAGCCAGCATGGCCTGGGTTTATTGAACACAGACAATAGTTAAAAGGGAACCGTCAGAGTTGGCAGGTGGGGGTGGTGGAGAGGGGTAGGGATGGTAGGGGGAAACAAAGGAGGAGGCAACAATGCTTGATAAGAAATGTACTCACTATCTTGCCCATGTAATTGTAACCCTTCTGTATGGTATTTTCACAATAATAATTTTTTTAAAAAAAGAAGTTTCTGAGGGTGTGGGCCAGGTGGGGAAAAGAGTATGTGCATTGGGAAATCTCACCAAAGTTTTTCCCAGAGGAATGGTGCAGTTGCACATATATTTTTAAAAAGAGTCCTGGCTGAATTATACTCACAGTCCACAGACTGTGTATTGCTGCTTAAAGTGTTGTTACTTTCAATTCGTTTGGCACTTGTGAGGTGTTTTTTGTTTTTTTTTTCTTGTTCTAATGATCGATCCATTGTAGCTATTGAGCAGTTTATGTCTTAACTTGAGAGCTTTTCTGGAACATGAAATCCTTTAATAATCTGATAAGACCTGTAGACCTTTCCCCAGGACCTGAGCCAAGTTTGGGGTGTTACGTTTCAAGGCCATGTGTATGAGTGTCTGCATCCCCACTGCTATGTGACCTGTGCATATCCTACTTGTGTTGTCCAGACCTTGAAGCCCCACTGAGAATTCAAGCTTAAGACCTTTTATATCACAGAATGTTTCTTTCTCCCTCAAAATAGTCATTTTCAAGGACATAAAGGGACTTTAAGGTGATAGCTTATAACAGTGACTGGTACATCAATGTAAACCTAAGACAATTGCCCTAATCACATGCCTAGAAATTTGTATTCCTGGCCTCAGGGATGCATATAGTGTGGATCATTCCTGGTCTTTCTTGGCCTCCCTGCCCTCCCTGAGGACCCAAGAAGCCCCATTGGGCAGCTTGCACTGTAGCACTTTCTGGAAAGTGGGCCTGCCATGGCTGTCCTTTTCTGGGGAGTGTCTCTTTAGGATTACAGCTGAGCCTGTGCTTGGGGCAGCTGTGCCCTGAGGTCACATGTATTAATGTAATGTCTTCCTTCTTACAATCTCAACTGAAAAAAAGTGGGAATGCCCCCCGCCCCCTGTGCTTGACTTTCAAATCTTTCTGAGATATGGTGCACAGAGTTTGAGTTTTTTGAAATTGAATTCCCATTCTTTTTCAGTTGACATGGTACATGGTTATTAGGTTAGCAATTGTGAAGTGCTATGACAGGAATATGAAGGCTGAAAAGGCTAATTATTAATATGGAGGGCAAATCTAGGACCAGAGGCCCCAAGTCCACTACCCGTGGTGCACCCAGCGAGACCCAAGGCTGAGATGTCCTCAACCCAGCTTGAGCCTGTCAGCTCCTTTGGTCTCCTAAGATGTTTCCTAGGTCATCTTATGTCCTCCTCATTTACCCCATTGTGGCTTCCCGCTTGTCACTTCAGTGCCACTTGCTCATCCCCTCTCTGCAGGCACCTGAGCCATATTGTCACAGACATTCCTTGTGGGACCTCCCCACAAGCCCCACATAACATTGATGGCCAATCTTTCAAGGCTCAGTTCCAATTTTGTTTGCTCAATGACAGTTACACTGATTTCCTCTCAATCTGACTTAGGACTCCGAATCAGCCTCCCTGGTTAAAAGAAAACACCTGGATTCGGATGTGGCTCAAGTGGTGTGACACTTTCCAAGCAAGGCCTTGAGTTCAAGCCCTAGTACCAAAGATATCTGGCTAAGGTCTCCATGGACAATGTTGCAGTAATCACACGGATTGTATTCAAGTCGATGTGTGTTGTGTATCACTGCTAAACATGAACCTACTTTTGTTTCTGCAGGACTCAGCGTGCTCTACTTCCTGTTCCTGGTCTTCCTCCTGTTCCTGAATTTTGAGCAGGTCAAATCCCTAATGTATTGGCTAGATCCAAATCTTCGATATGCCACAAGGGAAGCAGATATCATGGTATGTATCTATCAGTGGCACTGGAGAGAAGTGGGTAGACTCTTGGGTGTACGAGGTAGACCTGGCATTTTACGTTGGTTCTCTCCATGCTTCCTGTGTACAGAGCTAAATCGTGGACTTTCAGGTGAGCTGTTAGGTTGCATGGTTTTCAGAAGTGATATGATCCAGGGAAATGTAATCTTGTCATGAATGGAAGGCACATACATTAAGGAAAGTAAAAACATTTTTCTCAGACTTGTGCCTAAACTAATATTTTTTGGTACTGGGGTTTGAACTCAGGGCCTTGTACTTGTTAGGCAGGTACTATACTACTTGAGCCGCAGCCCCAGCCCTTTTTTGCTTTACCTATTTTTCAGTAGGGTCTCAAGTTTGTACCCAGGGTTGGCCTGGGATTTGAACCCTCCTACCTATGTCTCCTGCTCAGCTGGGATTATAGATATGAATCACCAAGTTTGTCTTATTGCTTTAGATGGAATCTTGCTAGCTTTTTGCCTGGATTAGCTTCAAACCACAATCTTCCTAATGTCTGCCTCCCCCTCCCTTCCTCCCTTCCTCCCTTCTTCCCTTCCTTCCTTCCTTCCTTCCTTCCTTCCTTCCTCCCTTCCTTCCTTCCTTCCTTTCTTCCTTTCTTTTTTCTCTCTCAATATCTTTATCCTTCTTTCTCCCTTCTCCTGTCTTTCTCTTTCTCTTTTTCTTTGTGTGTGTACCAGTACTGGGCTTGAATTCAGGGCCCCATGCTCTTGCTTAGCTTTATCTCAAGGCTGGCTCTCTACCACTTGAGCCAAATCTCCAGTTCTGGAATTGTAATTGGAGATAATCTCAAGAATTTGTCTGTTCGGGCTGGTTTTGAACCGAGATCATCAGATGTCAGTTTCTTGAGTAGCTAGGATTATCAGCATGAGCCACCAGTGCCCAGTTTAACTTCAGTTTTCTTAAAGGACAATTAAAACAAAGACAATGCAAAAGTTATAAGTAGCAAGAAAAATAGTTTGTTGTAGATTTCTTATTCTAAAGTCATGAATGGCAAAATATGATTTAGTAGATTACAATGATGATAATTGTATTAACCTTCCATTACTGTAACAATACCTGACACAATCCATTTAGAAGGAGGAAAAGTTTGTTTTTTGTTCATAGTTTTGGAGATCAGTTGACTGTTGTCAACTGACAGGCGTCATTTGGTTTGTGGCAAGGCAGCACATTGAGGAGCACATAGCAGGAAGCTGCTGAGAAGCCGAGGGATGGACATCCCACAGTCCTCTGCAAGGGCATACTTCCATGACCTAAGATCCTCCCACTTAGGCTCCACCTCTTAAAGGTTCCCCCACCTTCCTATAGGAGCAAACTAGGTATCAAACACTTAACACAAAAGCAGTTGGAGAACATTACAGCTCCAAATCACAGTAGTAATGAAAATGATGATAGCAGTTCCTGGTTCTCGACTGGTCACTTTATTGATAGTCCATATAAGCCTGTCATACGTGTGCTCAGTGTTTGTTATCATTTCATTGAGGAGGAAATGGAAGCTTTAAGGTTAAATATGTCACTCAGAGCTCAAGCTGCTATCTCTCTGGCTTCAAAACTCCATTTCAGTTCTGCTAGTTACAATTATAAAAAGTACTAGCATATTCGCAAGAGCCTTTGAAAATTGAAATTGGGAGGAAGATATTCCAGATAAAATATTTTCCCAGGCATCATTTTTAGGCCTTTGAGCAAAAGTGATCATATTTCAAAGCAAACCAACTTGCAGATGGTTGTGCTGGTGCCCTGTTGATCCAGTTCTCCCAGCTGCGAGAAAGAGGCTGGATCCAATAACGTACTTGACCTCTAGCTCTCTTAGTAATCTCTTATCACAGGAACATCTAAGTGTCACAATTATAACTGCAACTGGCTTCTGAAATATAGTCTCCCATAATACCTACTTCTTGCCAAACTAAGCAAAGCATGAGTGTATTAGATGCTTCTAGAGGTCTGATTGGAGCTGGAATGGCCTGTTCTCTCTCCCTCATCAGTTTTTACTTTCTGCAGGTCGTTTTTACACTTTTCTGTGGAGAAATGCTTTCTACATTGCAGGACTTGTAGAAAAAAAGCTGTTGGTACAAGACTGAGAGTCTGTGGCTCAGGTCCTGGGATATCTGTTCTCCGTATCCTTCACCCTGATACCCACTTACCTTGATAACTCCGGCCACTGAAACTCATACTCCCTTTGTCCTTAAATTTGGTTATAAATTAAAATGGTGGTAGGGAATTTTTAATAGTTGGACAGTTTGCTTCTTTCTAAAATAACGATTCTGGTACAGTCTGCTTTGGCATGAATGAAGCCTGGGTTGGATCCCCAACACAAAATAAGTCAAGCATAGTTCTTATTGAATTTTTTAAAAAATATGTATTCTGCCAGGCACTGATGGTTCATGTCTGTAATCCTAGCTACTTAAGAGGCTAAAATCTGAGGACTGATGTTGGAAGCCAGCCCAGACAGGAAAGTCTTTGAGACACTTATCTCCAATTAACCACCAAAAAGCTTAAGTGGGAGTATGTTGAGCCTACCTTGAGCAAAGAGACTAAGGGAGAACAGAAGGCCCTGAGTTCAAGCACATGTGCGCACGCGCGCGCACACACACACACACACACACACACACACACATACACACACATAGAGCTAAAGTAGACACAGGGTGTAACTAGTGAAACATCTTTATAGTGTTAAGCTGGAGGTCATTATCCAGGTATATATTACAGTATCATCTGTACTTTATTATATCCCTGAAACATGTTACAACTTTAGAAAGCCATTGCAAAAATGTGAACACTGCAGTGGTATCTATGGAGAAGAGGGTGGAGCCAGCAGGATTAGCAGGAGGACAGGTGGAAGCATCATCTTTACTTACCATTAAGTCATATACCTGACCACTCAGCCCATTTCCAGGTACCTGTTTCTTCAGGTTCTTAGACTTGTGCTGTGGGAAGCTATTGGGCTCTACTACTGCTGGACCTCTGTGTCGGGGCTCAGCATCCATGGAGTCATCCTACTGTAGCTCACAGATACTTAGAAACAATGTTTCTCTTGGATTATTTCTCTAGCAATACAGTTGTAGCTATTTAGAAAGCATTTGTATTTCTAGTACTTCTTTAGATGAGAAGTACTCTGGAGATAATTTGAAGTATAGAAAGGATATGTATAAAAAATGTGCACATTTTGTATAAGAGACTTAAGCATCCATGGATTTTAGTATCCTGGGGTATCCTGGCACTGGTCACCAGGAGACCAAGAGACAGCTATAAATTGTAGTATCCCCTAAGTCTTCCCCAGGACCAGGACCTCAGGTCATTAACTAGTACATCTGCTTGTTAATAATTCTAATGTTAGTATATACCACTGGCTCTTTATATTTTTAAATGGTCTCCTGTAATTGAAGTGTAGAAGTGTCATGGCCCTCCCAAAACCACCTCCAGCCTATGTTGAGAGTAATCTGACAGTAGACATCCCCAGTCTTGACCCTATGTCCTGGTCTAGCCTCTGAGCCTCCTATTCCAAAGCAGGGAGAGGGAAGGGAGGTTGAGAAATTTGAGGATAGTGGCACCTTGTTACTTTCTTTGCCCTGATATATAGCCTGTGCTAGGATGTTCATGCATCAGCCTGGGAGTCCCTGTGACAGGAAAATACTGTTGAGAATCTGAGAATCTCTGCAATGCAGTGCTGTTTGTATGTTTTAAGCTTTGACTTACCCTTATTAAATCTTCTCTCATTTTCTCTAGATTTCCCACTTACACATAGTAATTTCCCATCCCACCACTTTTTGGAGGTAGATTTAAAAAATAAGTCCTTCTAGCTGTGCAAACTGCAATGCCCTCTATCAGAGAAGGAGATCAGATATGGTAGGATTCAGAAGAGAATGGGAAGCACTTACTCTTTTCTTCTCTCAGAAAGTGTTACTTCTAGATTTTGAGCCTGGCACACTTTGTAGGAATTTTTTTTCTATTTGGGTTGATAATAGGTAGATCTTTCCCAACGCTTACTATCAGATTTGTTTTGAGAAGAAAGGATATGAAAGGAAGAGATTGCCTTGAAATGTGTATTGTCATATAATTCAAAGGTATCTATTTTTGTAAGTATATGGAAATTTAAAATTAGTGAGAAATATATGTCATAGTCAAAACAAGAAGATGGAACCAAAATTGTTTTAAAGCCTTAGAATTTTCTAGTATTTGAATTCTGTAGAAGCTGATGTATTTTTAGGTGGGGAATTCTATTTTCTTCCTATCTCTGAAGGTGGAATGATGGCAGTTCTGCGCTTCCAGTAGAGCATTTCAAGCTTTGCATTTTCCTCAGAGTTCAATGTAACATTTACCCCCTCCCCCATTATTTTCATTCTTTGTTACTCAACTTAAAAAGTTTATTATGACCTCCTCATTAAATCATAATCTTTAGAAAAACATGTTAAATTTCTTTATCTACTGGAATTCTTTATATTTCTGTAACTGGCTTTCCCTTACTTGCCTTGTGGACAGACGAGTGGTCTGTGTAATGTGACTTCTTCAAAATGCCTAGAGACTTTGTAAAATTATTTTACTTCTCATTCTAGCCCAGCATTGCAATTCAGAGCCAAGTAATTATATGTAAACTCTAATACTTGCTCATATTCTCCATGAATCTTGTTTTAAAACTTTCTTAGAAATCAGGTACTGGTAACTCTTATCTGTAATCCTAACTACTCAAGAGGCTGAAATCTGAGGATCCAAGTTTGAAGCCAGCCCAGACAGAAAAGTCTGTGAGACTTGTATCTCCAATCAAATAGCAAAGAGGGTAGAAAGTGGGAGTGTGACTCAAGTGGTAGAACATCAGCCCGGAGCATAAAAGACCCTGAGTCCAAGCCCTAGTAACTGGGGCCCTAGTAACAGACAGACAGACAGACAGACACACACACACACACACACACACACACACACACACACACACAAATAAAGAAATACAACAAAAAAATTCAACAGTATATATAAACTTGGTGTCAGATCTTGTGAGTTCTTTGATTCCACACCTAAATCCTGGGAGGAAGTTGGTTTCTGCAATTCTGTTCATTTTCCATTTTTTCTCTGTTCAACAGGAGTATGCTGTGAACTGCCACGTGATCACCTGGGAGAGGATTGTCAGCCACTTTGATATATTTGCCTTTGGGCATTTCTGGGGTTGGGCCATGAAGGCCTTGTTGATCCGCAGCTATGGCCTCTGCTGGACAATCAGTATCACTTGGGAGCTGACTGAGGTAAGAAATGGCCTGGGGCATTTCTGGACTCCATTCTACAATTTTATGTGCATTGGAGGCAGAGTGGGCAGATAACAGGCAGTCCTCTCTCCAGCACTGGGATTCAAAACTCTACTTACCATCCTATAAGAACATTGGATACTTTTTGTTGTTGTTGTTGGTTGTGGGGCTTGAACTTAGGGCCTGAGCACTGTTGCTGAACTAGCGCTATACCACTTTGAGCCATAGGTCTACTTCCGGTTTTCTGGTGGTTAAGTGGAGGAAGGGTATCATGGACTTTTCCTGCCTGGGCTGGCTTTGAACCAAGATCCTCAGATCACACCCTCCTGAGTAGCTAGGATTTCAGATGTGAGCCACCAGCATCTAGCCAGAATACCTTTTTCATAAAAAAGAAAACTAAACAAAATCCTCACTTACTTAAATCTGCCTTGATGCCATAAGTCTTAAAAGAATATTTTCAATTCTATGAAATCAAGCTAAAGAATGGAGTTAAAATCCCAAGTGAGATAAACAAATAGGAGGAATTCTATGTATATGTAAGTCATTTTGCCCATCTACTAGTTTCCAGTTTGGGAGAAATGGAACAAGGTGTTCAGGAATTACAAGGGCATCCAAAGATATTTTTCTCACTGAAAAATGGCTTCCCAATATACTCCATTATCTGTGATCAAAGGTTTGTCTTATTTAACTAGTGCAAGAGATATATTTTTGAGAATTTTAGCAAAATGAAATTTGGAGGCCATGCTAGTGGTTCACACCTGTGGTCTTGCTACCCAGGAGGCTGAGATCTGAGGATCACAGTTTAAAGCCAGACCAGGCTGGAAAGTCCATGACACCCTTGTTTAGCTACCAAAGGGGGGTGGGGTGAGGGAACAAATGAAGCTGTGGCTCAAGTGGTAGAGTGCTAGCCTTGAGCACAAAAGCTCAGGGTCAGTACCTAGGCTCTGCATTTAAGTCTCAAGACCAGCACAAATGGAAAACAAAATGATTGTTCAGTTTTCTGTCATTATTAATCAGTCCCAAACAACAGATGTATAGTATAATTCTTGGTGTCAATCACTGTCTAGACCCTAACTTAGAGAAGTGTATTACTTAGATGTCTTCTGTCAATGTACCTTTCACCATGTTAGAAACTGAGAGTCTAAGGTCACTGCTGGCAAGACCACTTCCCTTTGAAGACTGTTTTGGAGACTTTCCAGTGACGTCTCCTGCCTTCTCATAGTTTGTTGTTGATCTTTGGCCTTTCTGGACTTGTAGTTGCGTCACCAAGATTGCTGCATTCATGACTAGCTAGTATTTTCTCGAGCCTCCCTGGTGTTCTGTATATACAGACAGCAGTCATAATGGATAAGTGACTTACTCTACTCCATGAGTCCTCTGCAGTGACTCCACTTCCAAATTAATTCACTTCTGAGCAATTAGACATTAAGAATTTTGAGAAGATACGGTCCAACCCTTCCAACACACTGCTCAACACCTTTTATATACAAATTTTCATATACCAAAAAAAAAAAAGCCAAGACAGCAATGTATTATACTTGTCATACAGGTCAGTGTTAGCCAGGCTTGCAATCCGTATGCAAAGCCTGCTTTCCTGCCCTTACACCACATTCTGCCTCAGAGACCAAGCCTTCTCTTCACTCAGTCACCACATGAACTTTAGGCAATGCACCTGGACCTCAGCCACCATTGCCTATTTTTGCTCCATCTTACCCACCCTTCAGATTAGACATTCTGCCATCCCATCTTCCCTTGTTCCCCTTCGTGTTGTGGTCCCCAGGTTATACCTGTACAGTCCATCAAAATCTTCTCTCACTTGCACCTGTACAGTCCATCAAAATCTTCTCTCACTTGCATCTGATCCTCCATTATGTCTTGTCTACAGTGCTTGTCTGAATACTCTTTGTGGCCAAAGCAGATGTTCTCAGGCCTCAGATGAAGACCTTCCCCTCCTAGAAGCTCTTGAGCAATTAATTGTCCTTGGCTCTTAAAACAGAATCCAGACTTTCAGACAGCCTTTGAGGTTTGTGGGGAGTTGGCCACTGCCTTTCTGCCCAGCCTCACTGAACCACTGCAGTCCAGCCATCTTTGCTTTCTCTATTTTGAAGACCTTGGGATTTTCCCCACAGAAGCCCTCAGCCAAGTAAAGTCAAGTCTCATCTGTGCTCCTCACCTACTAGCCTGCTGCCTCCAGGGCTCAGAATCTGAAGAAACACTCTCCCCACCCCAACATTAGCCAGATCCATGTTCAATCCTGCCCCCTCTTCCTTACATGTCACAGACAATCCCTTCTGAGTGAATGAACACAGTTCCAATTCCTCAGATTGGTTCTCAGTGCCTATCTTACACTAGAATCTAGTACCTTCCAGAGAGCTACTGGACTAGAGAGTATCCTTCCTGGTCATTCCTCATAGATTTGGTTCAGAAAACATGTTGCTGGCTTCTGCTTCAGTTTCCTGCTTCCTCATTAGGTCCAGATCCCCAGATCTTCCCTGTAACTTAGTTCCTGGGAATGTACCCCAGGGGGCTTGTCAGCTCTTCACCTAGTGCTTCCACTAGTGAAGAACGTAGCTATGAGCTATCTATCACCTGCCATCGCTGTCTTGGAGCTTCTCAGCAGTATGCACCTTGAGAAGGAAACCTTATATTTATCTTTTGCTTATAGCTTGCAAAATGTTTTCATGGATACTAGTTTGACTTTGCAGTATTTATCCTATTACTTAATAGGTCTGTGATGACAAGAGTCATTTCTTTCCAGAGAATTTTCTGGCATGGTCTTTCTAGTTTCACCTTCTTAAATTAGGCCTTCATACAGCAGGTCATGCTGCTCTGCACACAGCTCAGCTACATTTTTTTTTTTTAGAGAACAGAAAGTTCCTAAAAGTAATCTTCCTGTTCCTCTTTCTGGAATGTTCTTATTCCCTAAGTGCCTTTTGAAATCAGTCATTTCTGATTTTAATCTTCCCACTTCAATATGTCTTCCTTCAAGAAGCCTTTTCAACCTTACTTATAAATGAATCTCTTTTGCCCCAGATTTCTCTATACACCAAGAAGCCAGCTTTCTCTATACACGCCACTCTTGTAATACTTGCTTGAAGCCGGGCGCTGGTGGCTCACGCCTGTAATCCTAGCTACTCAGGAGGCTGAGATCTGAGGATCGCGGTTCAAAGCCAGCCCGGGCAGGAGAGACCGTGAGACTCCTATCTCCAATAAACCACCAGAAAACCGGAAGTGGTGCTGTAGCTCAAGTGGTAGAGTGCTCGCCTTGAGCTGAAGAGCTGAGGGACAGCGCCCAGGCCCAGAGTTCAAGCCCCACAACCGACAAAAAAAAAAAAATAAACTTGCTTGAGTCAAGCCTAATTTGTGATTTGTAGTTCTTTGGATACACATCTGACTTTACCCCTTGAGATCAGCAACCTTGACTTCCTTCTGTCTTACCACGGTGCGCATCGTGTACGCCCAATAAAAATAATGTCATCAGTCTGTGGGAGATGCCCTGTTACGCTTCATTTCGAATCAGGGACAACCCTTCTGCTTTTGCAGTTCACTCACTGGTTTACCCACAAATGTATTGAATATTTCCAAAATGCACAGCTTGAATTCTCTCAAGCTGCTCATTTTGAGGATTGTGCCAGTACTTTGTTGTTGGGGATATACACTTTTTTAAGAGGCACTATTGTTTTTTGTTTTTGTTTTTGTTTTTAAGCCCAGTGTCAAGTAAAGAAAGCTGTTGGGATACATGTTGTTTGCAAACCATCTGCAAGACTCGGATTACAGACTTTGAACATAGAGAGGGGTGGGAGAGGAAAGAACACTGGCTAAAACCATGTGTGACTGGAAGGAAATGTGGCATTCTGCATGGCATCCCACTTTTGCTTTTTTATTTTTATTTTCCCCCAACAATCTTCTCTTGTGTTCCTCAGCTTTTCTTCATGCATCTTCTGCCCAATTTCGCGGAGTGCTGGTGGGACCAAGTCATTCTAGATATCCTGTTGTGCAATGGAGGCGGCATCTGGCTGGGCATGGTCGTCTGCCGGTTCTTAGAGATGAGGACTTACCACTGGGCGAGCTTCAAGTGAGTCCTCTTCCTCTTCTTTTCAGGGTTATTCACACTGTTGCATAACATGTTGAAGTGCTTTGTGAGGAGTAATCTTAGGTGGGGTCTTTGATGATAAGGAATAAATTCCACATTAGCAATTGGAACTAACAAATAACTGCAATCCTAATTTCAACCATTCACCCAGAAAATGCTATCCTGTTACAACTTTCTTCTTTCTCATCCTGTATATGTAGAGGATTCAAGCCTTCCTTGATTTCAAAGTAATTCTCAAGTCTGTCCTTTGGTTTCTATTTGCCTCAGCCTATGTCCTTGGATTAATTAGTCTCTGGTCCCTAAGAGAAGCCCTCCTTCCCATCCCAACCTTTCTCACTCTAATGCTTGAGTGTTACCCCCTGTGGTGGCGGCTTCTGGTCTTTAGGACAAATTGTACATCCGTGGGCTGTGAGGGAGGAGCTTCCAATCTTCCCAGGTACCCAAGGCTTGTGACCATGCAACTACTCCTTGATCTCTTTACCTAGGATTTAGTCCATTTCTGGGAACCAAGCTACTCATCCTTTTTGTTGCTCACTCACTTTGGGAAGACACTTAATTATACTCATCTTCCCTGCTTCCAAGGAGAGCAACACAAGTCACTGTTGTTACTTAATCTGCTTGCTCCACCTTGCTTCCCAGTTTATGACAGGAATCTGCCATTTGATAAAGAAGAGAAGCATGGAAGTGATCATGAAAATAGTAATTGTTTTCACCACATTTAAAGTTTAATTTAAAAATATGAGCATTGCACCATGTTATACTATATTGTTCTGAAAAATGATTTTACAATGCTTGTAATATCTCAGCATATAGACAAACTCATTTCCTTTATGGTTCATTTGTTCTTTCAAGGGTTTTTTTTTACTTCTATAAGAAGGCTACAATGAAAATTACATATATCTTTGTGTGTATCATTTTTTGTAACCAAATTCTTAGAACCATGGTACACAGTTTATATTTTCACCTACTATTTGTGTGTTTGTGTTTCCATTCACTGTTTCCTTGAATTTTTAAAAATTTTAGTCAAGGGGCTGGGAAGGTGGCTCAGTGGTAGAGCACTTGCCTTGCATGCCAGAGGTCCTGGGTTCGATTCCTCAGCACCACATAAGCAAAAAGAAAAAAGCTGGAAGTGGCGCTGTGGCTCAAGTGGTAGAGTGCTGGCCTTGAGCTGAGGAGCTGAGGGACAGCACCCAGGCCCAGAGTTCAGGCCCCACGACCAGACCCAAAAAAAAAAAATTTTTTTTTAGTCAACTTTATCCTATATAAAATGGTGTGATAATGGATTTCTAATCTAATGTTTATTTCTCTTAGCACTGCTTTTTAGAGTTCTGGGATACTAACAATTTGTAGCTTTATTTTTCATTTTGGAATCTTCTTTTTAATTCATTATGTGGTAGATTTTTCAGTTTTTTACTCCAAAAACTTTTTATGCTTTTATTATGTAATGTGAACCTATATTTTCTTCTAATCTCTAATAGTGGTATCTTTTTTATTATTATTGTTCTTATTCTTATTGTTATAAGTAACTCACTTGATCTTCCTCAAATTTATTTCGGCATGTGCTATAAGAGTGAGACTTCACACTTACTGCCATAGCTAACTAATTTTTCCCATCCTTGTATTAATAATTCATTCTTATGATACTGTCTTGAACAGATTTCTTCATATTTTCTAAGGCAGTATGTGATAAGACATCAGTCCTGAAGGCCAACACTACAATTCTCTTTGTCTCAAGGAGAGTGATGCTGAAGCTCAAGTTTAGTGATTTTCCTGATGATCAGCTAGCTAGCAAGCTATGGGATCCAAATTTGTACCAGGCTGACCTTCTCAACATGATATAATCCTTCCCATTTTTTTTTTTACATTCATGCTTCATATTCAACATCAGAATCATTTTGTCAAGACTCCAAATTAGAAGCCCAATGATTTCATTTGAAATCCCATTAAGTATGCAAATGACTAGATTAATTTAAATTAAATTAACCTCTTCATTGTATTAAATACTCTGCATCTGATATGTGTCACATCTCTATTTTCTGTTTTCTAGGTCTTTTCTTGTACATTTACCATTTTAAAATACAGGGCTTGGCTGGGCATTGGTGGCTCATGCCTGTAATCTTAGCTACTCTGGCTGAGATCTGAGGATCCTAGTTTGATGCTAGCCTGGGCTGGAAACTCCACGAGACTCTTATCTCCAATTAAGTACCCAAAAAAGCCAGAAGTGGAGCTGTGGTTCAATTAGAACAGCACTAGCCTTGAGCAAAAGAATTCAGAGACAGTACCAGGCCCTGAGTTCAAGCCTCAGGACTGGCATAAAAATAAATACATAAAAATAGAGGGCTTTCACACTTTTCATTTTTTTTACCATTGGGCCACAAATCTTTTTACTGTGATATTTCCCCCATATATCCTTATGTTTAGAAGGCAGAGGTATAAAGGACTAGATCTTGTTTCTTTTACTGCTATGTTCTTTCCCTTTTAAAGAAAAGGTTTGTCATCTGCCTTTAGTACTTAGCCTACTGTCTGAGATATAAAAACCCTTTGCATAAATATTAATTGAATTTAATACCAGATATTAAATGATATCACCTTGGATATCAGCTCTCCTGACCTAATATGCTAGAGCTAGAATCTGCACTCAGCTCTGAAGCTTTCAAAGCTAGTCTGGGTAAACCATGGGACTATTTGTTTCTGTCTTGGGCATATGAAACTTTTTACTGAATGATTGTTAGGATTAAAGTTGAAAAGCTAAATGTTACTGTTTGTCAACTCCCAAAGTATGGGGAAGAAATAAGGATGTGGTGATCTGAGGTGTGTGGATAGAGCAAGTATCCTTTTACCTAACACCCCCGCTAGAAGACAGCCAAGCAACGAGAAGTCATTTAATCTTTGTGGACAGCCAGGCTCCTAGGTGAATTCCAATTCACAAATGAAGATCTCTCCTGACTCCTGACACTAATGACAGCTCTGGACCCTGCCTGTCAGCACTGAAGTGTTCCCCTCTTGGGTGTGTCTCTGTCACCTTCTTTACTTGTGAAGAGCAAGACCTTGCTTTGGGTTGCTCAAATAGAAAAGACACTCTTCTATTTGAGCATTTGCTAGAATATTCTCAATACACATGTTTTTCCTTGCTGTTTGTATTTCCCTTGTCTTTGTATTTCTCTTGTCTCTGTGGATTTTCATCAGAGCCATTTTTCCCTTTCAGGGACATCCACACTACCACCGGCAAGATCAAGCGTGCTGTGTTACAATTCACACCTGCTAGCTGGACCTATGTTAGGTGGTTTGACCCCAAATCTTCTTTTCAGAGAGTGGCTGGAATATACCTTTTTATGATCATCTGGCAGGTAATTTTTTCAGATGCCCATAGCTATGGGGTAAAAAGCAACCAAAAAACTTCTGGAAATTTAGAGTTAATGGTGGTTTACATCTATCATGCCAGCTAGATGTTTACAAGATAATACTACTCTGTAGCTGGCATATGGAATAATTAAGCCTAAATCTTTGTTTATGTGATATTGTAAAATACCAGTCTTTGAATTACAAACCAGAAACAGATGAGTACCCACAAAACATCATGCAACGAATTAGGCATTGGATTGCTTTTCATTGTTTTTCAGATCATTTTCAAAACTAGGCACAGTGACTCGTATCTGTAATCCTAGTTACTCAGAGGTCTAGATCTGAGAATCACAATTTAAAGCCAGCCTGGGCAGCAATGTCTATGAGACACCAGTTAGCTGCCCAAAAGCCAGAGGTGAAGCTGTGGCTCAAGTAGTAGAAGAGCACCAGCCTTGAGTAAAAAATGCTAAGGAATAGTACTCAAACCTTGACTATAAGTCCTCATACCAGCACGCGCGCGCTCACGCACACACACACACACACACACACACACACACACACACACACACATGAACAGACAAATTTTTTTGTTTTTTGTTTTGTTTTTTGTCAGTTGTGGGGTTTGAACTCTGGGTCTGGGCACTGTCCCTCAGCTCTTCAGCTCAAGGCTCTGATTTTCTGGTGTTTAAAAAATTGAAGAGTCTCACAGACTTTCCTGCCCCGGCTGGCTTTGAATTGCAGTCTTCATATCTCTGCTTCCTGATTAGCTAGGATTATAGGCGTGAGCCACTGGTGCCTAGCTTTATTTTAATTTTTACTTGCTTTTAATTTTTGCACTTCAGGGGATCAAATCCAGAGCCTTGTCATGCTAGGCAAGTGATCTACCATTGAGCTCCATCTCCAGCCTGAGTATTTTTTTTAAAACCATTCTAATTTAGTGCTTGATGTTCAGAATTGGGCATTACACTTTGGGCAATGTATAAAGAGCAAAATTGGCTCTCAAATATCTGTGGGAATAGGGAGTGGGGCCTTTAGGATGTAGGTCCTACAGAGAGCTGTCCCAATAGAGAGGAGCTGTACTTTGAAATGTGCTATTACATAATAATAATAATCCAGATTAGCCAAAAGGATTCTCATATCTCTGAAAACATCTCTGTTTTCTAGAGACAGCCTTTTTTTGTATTGAGCCTCCTGTCCCCAAGGTATTTGTGCAACTTTTGGAGACTTACCAAAGAAAACCAGCTTTTGATTAAAGAATCTTTTCAGAATCATCAGAAATTTGGGTCAGGTGCCATGGCTCACTCCTGTTATCCCAGCTAACTTGGAAACTCCTAGAAGCAGTTCTTGCAGCTTCCATTTCTCATGTCTGCTTTTTATTTGTGTCCTTGAAGTCATTGTAATTGAAATGTACCTACCACTCCATTGCAATGTGTTTTCAAAGCACAGTGACCTTCCCGTGGTCTGTGCCCCTTGCTACAGGTGTGGAGACAAACCCTGGGTAGAGGAGACACATTGCAGAATGTGCTGAGGGCTCACTGTGGTGATCTGCACTGTGATGCTAAGCTTGGGGAACGGTACCACTGTTCCCAGGTGGGGCTTGAACCACATGTTAATACCTGCATTTAATATCTGCATTAAGTGGCCAAAAGTCTGGTCCATCCCTGAGGTGTGCCAGCCACTACCTGGGCATTTCATCCTTCCTTAGAGTTGTATCTCAGGCTTCTTTGGATATAAGCTAATTTACCCATGGTTGGGCTTCTTTTAGACGTAACCTAATTTCTGTAAGGCCATTTAAATGATTTGTGCTGTGCTGAAAGCATGTCTGTCAGGACCATCCTAGCAGATCACTCATGACCCAAGTGACAGTCATGCAAAACAGTAAACATGACAAATAGCTTATGTCCTGAGCCCTCATGTGCTTTCCTGGCACCTGGCACCTGGCACCCCAGCTCCTCCTACAGGCCCTGGGCTGGGCAGAGCTCATGTGATAGTTCTTACTAGTTTAAATAGCAACCCTCGGGAGATCCCAGATGTTTTCTGTAAATGCTTTGGATGCTTGACTTATTTTTAGCTGTAGAGTATCTATTTGAGGATATAGGCTTACGATTTAGTACAACATAGCAGATGACTAATCTCTTCTCTTTTTGTCAGCTAACTGAGTTGAATACCTTCTTCTTGAAACACATCTTCGTGTTCCAGGCCAGCCATCCCTTAAGCTGGTGTAGGATTCTCTTCATTGGCTGCATCACAGCTCCCACAGTGAGGTAAGCGTGCATTCCACATTCTCCTGTTGGCTAGTAGATGTCCATGAAAAGCCATGCTAAGGAATTATGCAGCCAGAATATGAAGAAAACATGGTGCTATCAGACCTTGGTATCATACTTGGGCTTTCAGGAAGGAAAGTAAATAATTAATGCCACAGTAACAGTACTAGTCATTATTTTAAAACTCCTTTACAATCTGTTACCCTAGTCTTCTATTCTCTATTCTAGATGGTGTCACATACTGTTCCTTACTGACACTAAACCAGGGCAGTTCAAAGCCAAACACATTGACTTGTTTCAGTTCATTTGTATTGAAAAAATAGCCCTTCGGTTTTAGGGAGTATATGCTCTGGTCAGGCCAAAGATCTGCCCTTTCTTTGTGCTGCTGAAGAACACAAATCTGTAACTGGTGATCAATTAGTTATAAACACTACTGCCCTCGGACCAATCAGAATAAAGACACATAAGCTGTTAAGAGTTAGCGTTTCAGTCCTGGTGCCAGCTGTTAGCTATTCATGAGGCTGAAATCCAGAGGATAGAGGTTCAAAACCCCAATCCTGCCCAAAAGAAAAACACCATCATGTTTCAATGTCTGCCAACCATGTAAGTCAAGAAGTTCACTTGTTAGGGAGAATCAGAGCCACCAAATAGAACATTTCTTCCTGTCACCACTCATTATTATATTTAAAAATGAAAAAGCAACCTCCCAGACCCTAGATTGAACAAACCAAAGCAACTAAGACATACCTGAGTACTGTGGAATTACATCCAAAATACCATGTGTCCTTTTTATTTTGAACCAAGCAGTGAAGTGTCAGTTTGGAAGCCAGCAGCCCTTTGAAGTCCCAGTCTAATACATGTTATTCTCTTGATTTAAAATGCATTTTGTTTGAGACTTCACAAGTATTTTGTTAATTTAGGCGAACTGTTTTTGTTTTTGAGATAGAGCCTCACTGTATAGCCTAGCCTGGCCTTGACTTTATAATCTTCTCCTGCCTCTGTCTCCCTAGTGCTGAAATAACCAGCCTGTGCCCACCTAGGAGTTGTTTTTATATAAAATTAAGAGTAAATCAATGAGAGGAGAAAAAAAAAGCCTCAACTGGTTGATCATGAAATTTCAGCATTGTTAGTATTTCCAAACAAAGAACGAAATCTTAAAAAGTCAGTATTTTGAATTTGAGAGCTCAAAGGTTTGGCCACTAACTATGGATTGCTACATAATTCATTTTTTGCTTAAAAACCAACCACTTTTCTTTTTTTAAATTATTTTTTTTGAGATTAAGTGATTACATAAATTTCACATCTTTCATAGTATTGTGAGATAGTGATACTTAATTAAAAGTTACAAACGCATTTTAACCTTCACAAGGCAAGTTGTCATTATCATGGTCTATAATGTTTGTGAATCCTATGAGCTTTTGACAATACAACTATTTCTTTGACATCGGTTGATATGTCCATTTCTTTCCTTTTGCTTAGTGTAAGCTGCTCCCTCTTTCCCTCTCATTCTCTCCCTCCCATCGCTGCCCAGTTCGCTTTCATCAATGTATAGTGCAGCTGATGGGCCCCCCTCCAACTACTTTTCTTAAAGTGCTAGCCTTGAGCACAAGAAGCTCAGGAACAGTGCCTAGGCCCTGAGTTGAAACCTCAGGACTGACACAGATATACACACACACACCCCCAAAAAAACCCTCAAAAGATCAACAACTTTTTATGCTTTTACATTGTTTTTTGAGCAGTGTTATATAAGTAACTCTGGCAATGTGCTTTAGCAAAAATAAAATTAAAACTTATTTTTTGTGTTGGTGCTTAAATTTAAGGCCTCCACGCTCTTGCTTGGCTTTTTTTGCTCAAGGCTAGTGCTTTACCGCTTGAGCCACACCTCCACTTCTGCCTTTTTTTTCCTGGTTAATTGGGGATAAGAGTTTTGAGACTTTTCTGTTCATGCTGCCTTTGAACCATGATTCTCAGATCTCAGCTTCCAGTGTAGTAAGGATTACAGGCATGAGCTGTTAACACCTGGACTAAATAGTGTATTATTGAAAATTTTACTCTTTGAATGTGGCAGCTGGAGAATTTACAGTGGGTACCTGTGGCTCATAACAGTTATTATATGCTGCAGCTCAGCATTTCAACACCTATTCTGTTCTTGTCATCAACATTCAAGGTCAACAGTGTTCTGAACTGAGGTCCTGTTCTGGCTTCAGAGAGCCAAGTGTGCATTTCTTGCCCCATTACCATCAACATCCTTTGTCCTAGAAGTGCCAAAGGAGACAGTTGATGAGCCCAAAGTTGACCTTTGGGAATCACCTCCAGAAAGGCTGAATTAGCCACAGGAGTGCTTTGGCTCTAGGCTGAGAGAAGGCCCAGATCAAGACCATCTTGGCTGACTGCGGTTCTTCAAGTTGCACTCCCTCCCTCCTGCCCACCTTAGTGGGATTCCGAATTCCTTACAGGACTATTTCAATGGCTTGGCTTTCTGCTTCCTTGAGTAGAACTAGACCAGGCAGTTTTTACATTCACTGTCAGTGATTTCATTGTGAAGTGTCTTGTTCCAGAAGCACTTAGTAAATTCCAACTCTTCTTCTTTCAGACAGTACTATGCTTACCTGACTGACACGCAATGCAAACGTGTAGGGACGCAGTGCTGGGTATTTGGGTGAGTATCAGCTATTGCAAGGGTTTAAAAGCCATGTACAACCCTTGGTTTTGGGGGGTATTTCTTGGCTCTATGTGAAGTGCCTTATAATGTAACTTCCCAGAAAGAAAGATGAATAATGAATACTGTTTTGTTTATAACATGTTTCATTCTAATTTCCTCCTGTGATTTATATTAATAAGAATTACTTGGGAAATTGTAGAAACAGGGAAACTGCTGCCTTTAAAACATGTAATAGGAAATCAGATATTTTGCACATAGAATGAGGAGACTTGGTTTTGTGAAACAGAGAATGGATTGGTTGAGTTTCCTCTGAACCTATCTCGAGTTTGAGGTCTCCTCCATCATGGACTTAACCATAATCCACCTTCTTTTGCTGTTAGGCCCCTTGAAAGAGTTGCTGGTTGTATTTTTATTGTTCAGAGAATAAACACAGACAGTGATGATAATATATTGTCTTGTGGATACAAATGCTGTGATTTAATTTACTATTATTTAACCAGTGTGAAATAGTTCCCTTTCTTCCTTTCCCCTCTTCAGTGTTTCAGGCCAGTCATTCTTTTGTGTGAACACCAACCAGGCCTAGCATATCTGTATAGGAAGTTCAGTCCCTGAGGTATATAGTAGAAGATCAAGACTCAGTGTTAGTGAGTGATACTGCATAGGGGAGTTAAGGAAACTTGAAGTAAAAAAGTGACCGCTTCTAATAATTTTAAATAGAATAACCTTTTTGCAATTAAGAAGTCATATAAGCTGTGTGCCTGTGGCTTACACTGTAATCCCAGCTACTCAGGAGGCTAAGATCTGAGGGTTGTGGTTCAAAGCCAGCCCAAGCAGGAAAGTCTGTGAGATTCTTTTTTTTTTTTTTTTTGGTCCGGTTATGGGGCCTGAACTCTGGGCCTGAGCGCTGTCCCTCAGCTCTTCAGCTCAAGGCTAGCGCTCTACCACTTGAGCCACAGCACCACTTCCGGCTTTTTTCTTTTTGCTTATGTGGTGCTGAGGAATCGAACCCAGGGCCTCAGGCATGCAAGGCAAGCGCTCTACCACTGAGCCAACTTCCCAGCCCTGAGATTCTTATCTTAAAAAAAAAAGAAAGAAAGAAAGAAAAAGAAAAACTACTCAAAAAAGCCAGAAGTGACTCTGTGGCTCAAATGGTAGAGCACTAGCCTTGAGCAAAAGAAGCTCAGAGATAGTGCGTAAATCCCAGATTTCATGTCCCCAGGACTGGCAAAAAAGAAAAAAGAAAAAGAAAAAAAAGTCATACAGCCTGGTAGTGATGGCTCATGTCTGTAATCTATGATCTAAGGATCATAGATCAAAGCCAGCTAGAACAGGAAAAGTTTGTGAGACTCTTAATTTCCAGTTAACCACCCCAAAAGCCAGGTGGCTCAAGTGGTAAAGCACTAGCCTTGAGCAGAAATACTCGGGGATGGACAGCATCCAGGCCCTGCCCCAGGACCAATACCAAAAAACTCCACAAAAAACAGTCGTGTATATACGTGGATGTAACTTGAGAAAGGAATGTAGAAGAAACAAAAGTGCAGACCTTTGGAGATGTAATGTGATCTTTCATTTCTTCCAAACCTCTTTTGCATGTGTGTCTGTGCATGTATGCACAGTCGCAGGACCTCTCATTCCAAACAGAGATTATCTGTAGTTTCAAAGGATAAAAACATTGATAACTCCAGTTGGATGTCATCAAGTCCCTCTCAACCTCCAGCAGACAAAGAGCTGTTGTCAATTTGTTTCTCCTAAGTTCTGTTATATAAGCCCATTTTCCCACTCAGGAGATTGCAGCTTTCAGAGTGATATGGCAGGTTAGGTTTCCTTTGTTTTTTGTATGTGTGGCAAGAAGGAAGATTCATATACCATCCAAAATTCTGCTGGACTGGCAGAGGAGCCCGTGTAGGCCATGGGCATGTAGGCCATTCCTCTTAATGGCTTTGCCAAGCTCTTCTTTCTCACGGCTTCTTCCATGTGTGTTTTTCCTTTCATAGTTCAAAGTTCTAGATGCTATTGTGGATGTTTTATTAATTGACCTAGAGGGGAGGTGGTAATAGGATAGTTTCTTTCTCATTGGAGCTGAAAACTATAGTCACTATAATGGGAGAAGTGGGAAAGGGAAGAAAGAGGGTAAGAAATAGGTATGAGTAATTAAAAATCCTGTGATAGAAATCTGCTTCTTTGGACAGTGATTAAAATAAAGTAAACCACAAAAGAGTGGTGATTTAGTTTGCCTTCTGGAGAATTGAGAACTTCTAGGACAGTGATGCCAAGATTAAGTGATCTGGGGAGAACCAGTAGGCCATACTAAAAAATAATAAATCCCTCTTCACATATGAGACACAGGGACCCTGCTCAGTGCTTGATGAACCTCAGGAACACTGCCTTTGCCTGTGCTGTCTGCCCTTGTCAGCAGGGGGAAATATTTACCATCCAACTCCATGACCCAACCACTGCCATTCAGCCTTCATCTCCCCCTCTGCCCTACCTCTCCTGTGGCCCTCTCTTTATTTCTTCTGCTATCCAAATAGAAAACAATCTGGCTTCCTTTTGTTAACTAGTGGCTGCTTTATGGCTTTTAGGAATGACCCCAGGCTTTAGCATCGCACATTTGGGGGGCAGGGGAGGGGGGGGGGTGTAGGACAAAGGTGAAACAGCCTCCCATCTGAGGCTTCCTTCCCAGCAGTTCACATCTTTTTCTCCACAAGGGGGCACTGTCTCTTCTGCAGATAATCCATCAGACTGTTTCTGTGAGATACTTAGCTAAATTCAGACTAACCATGTCTTATTCAAGTTGAAACATGAATTTGAACTTTAAAAAAAAGCCTACTTTTACTATATATACTTGTTTCACAAGACAGAGCAGGGAAGGGATAGAGACTATACCAGAAAGGAGAGCAGTAGTTCGGAAAAGCTGGCCCCTTCTTTCTTTCCTCCCACCTTTCTGTTTCCTTTGCCAGCTTCTCATTCCACTGCACTCTAGAATTACCTCTTAATGGTGCTTTTGTTCTTCAGGCTCATAGCTCCAAATTGTCCTTCGCAAGGGCAGATGAAACAATAAAACAGAGACTTCTCTGTAGGGGGTATCCATATGGGTGACTCTGCCCAGCACTTCCAGGTCACTGTCATCACCTGGTGACTGTACTTCCGGGTCACAGTTATCCTACAGACTGACCTGTCTCAGCCTTCCTTCTAGCCCTAAGCACTTGCCTCTGTTCACACTTCCAGTGTAGCTTTAGAGACAATTTTCTTTTTATTTTGGTGGTCATGGGGCTTGAACTCTGGGCCTGGGCGCTGTCCCTCAGCTCTTCAGCTCAAGGCGAGCACTCTACCGCTTGAGCCACAGTGCCACTTCCGGTTTTCTGGTGTTTAATTGGAGATAAGAGTCTCACGGACGTTTCTGCCCCAGCTGGCTTTGAACTGTGATCCTTAGATCTCAGCCTCCTGAGTAGCTAGGATTACAGTTGTGAACCACCAGCACCTGGCCAAGAGATAGTTTTCTATCTGCAATATCTTTCCTATCACTCCAACCTGACATTGTTGATCCTGTCTGTATCCTTCCACGCCATACTCCTTGGTTCAAGACACTTACCACCACCACACCCTCCATCCCCACCCAATGACATCTCAAGAACTCCAACACCAGTACATAACAGTGGTGTAGTTAGTACCCAGGATACTCTGCTCTTCTTTTCTTGAAATTCTCTGTTAGTCCTCGAGCAATTTCATCTCTATTATTCATCTCTATTAAACCCAGCTCGGTTCTCACTTCCTCTAGAAAAGTATCTTGGCTCACCCCAGTCAGAACTGGAACCATACTGTTGAACCTGGGGAGCACTGTCTGGCTTCCTGGATGTGTGTTAGTTGAGTTTCATGAACAGATACACAGCTCTTTTCCATTGTAGGGGACTAGCTACATCACGGTGGGAGAGCTGACCCTCCTATCCTTCAGTCTTGTGCCTCTGTAGGGAGCTATGTATAGGACTCCAGGAAGGTGGCCTCGTGACCATAGCCGTAGGAGGTATCCTCAGTCTGAGTGCAGGTTTTGTTGGCGAATCAAAAGCCCTTCCTCTCCTGCCCAGGCTTGGCTTACACTCAAGCCTAGTGTTTTCACGCCCCAATTTCCATAAAATCCCTGCCTGTAGTTTTGTTCTATTTGCTGAGAAACTACTCACTCTTGGCTCTGCATTAGCATCACCTAATGTGTAGCTCTGCCAAGAGAGGCAGCAGACCAGGAACAATGAGGATCCTCTAGTGCCCACCCCTAAGTGCAGCACCTCAGCCACCACCTGTGTGTATTTGCCTTTTAACCTTGTTAAAGAAAGACGAAGGTGGCAGCAGGCACCTAAGGGTATGTAGAGACATTGGCTGAATTCCATCAAACTAGAATTCGGGGCACCTGACCCAGCAAATCACAGATATTTACTGAGCTAAGAGACTTACTTCAGAGTTGTGCAATAAGAGACCCCCTACTCAGGAGGAAGGTAAGTGGTATCTCCTAATGCTGTGCCCAAGGCTTTGGCCTCAGCCCAAACTAGACTATTCAGGTCTTGATATGACAGGGGCATTAAACTTCTAGAAGGTGGTTGTTGATTTAGATTCCCTCTAGTGGATGGGGGACAATAGCTGGTACGAATCCCTGTAATGCATCCCAGTTCCTACCACTTCCCATGACTCCTTGTCCTTATACCTGAACTGACACAGAGCCTCCCTCTGTCCATTCCTGTCTCCTCTCATCAGAAGGATCTGATTAAAATGTGAATCCTATCATGTTAAACCCTGTATTTCAAACTCCACAACTCTATGGACTAAAAGCCAAGCACTAGCGTAGCCTTCAGGACCCAAATGACCCTGACCCTAACCTCACTGAACCCTTCCCCTCACTCCTGCAGTTCCTATGCGCAGGCCTCAGCCTGACGTTCCACACCCAAATCATTCACAGCTGGCTCCCTTGTCTGGGTCTGCTCAGCTCTCTCCTTCTCAGAGATGTGTCCTCGTGCACAGAGAGCGGCTTAGCTAAGACTCGGCACTCCAGAGCAACCCAGACCCTGGAGCTGCTGGCCCTGGACTTGTCTGTGGAAAAATTCTTCTCAATTGAGTGGATTCACATTAGTATTTAGTTTTTTGTTGTTGTTGGTGGTGGTGGTGGTAGTTACAGGGCTTGAACTAAGGACCTGGGCTTTGTTCCTGAGCTCTTTTGCTCAAGGCTAGCACTCTACCATTTGGAGCCACAGCACCACTTCTGTTTTTTTGGTAGGTTAACTAGAGATAAGAGTCTCACAGACTTTCCTGCCCAGGCTGGCTTTGAACTGGCATCCTTAGACCTCAGCCTCCTGAGTAGCTAGGATTACAGGCGTGAGCACCTGCTTCTGGTCACTATTTAAACTGGGAAGTTCGCTCTTGTCTCTAATTCTGACTTCCCAGGTGAGATAAGCAACTAAGTTTCCCTCTGGTGACGTGGAACTTCATGAGTGACTTCATTTTCATTTTCAGTCTAGTCGATGGGTGCCTGCTGTAGGAACTTAGTCCCAAACAACACCCTTCTATCGTTTTTATTTAATGAAGGTGTGTGTGTGTGTGTGTGTGTGTGTGTGTGTGTACATGCTCACACGCTGCATTATAATGGAAAATGTGTTTCTTGCCAACTCTAGTCTGCTACTCACCACAGTTTGGCAAAAACCTTCCAAGTCAACTTAGAATATTCTGTCTGGCCTAGTGTAGAGGGTCACACTTGTGTTCTAAACTGGTATAGGAGTTGACAGATTAGGCTGAAGTAACATAGCTTAACCACCGTGTAATGTCAGATCACCGGCTACAGGGGAAGGCCTTCTGTGTGTATTGTATTGCACAGCTGAAGGGATCCTTTCTCATCTTCTCATCTATGACTGGCTGTGTTGTACCTGGGGGCTAGGGGTGGGAGGGGCAGTGGTCTTTCCAGATTCCTGCTGACCTCTCTTAAACCTTCTTTCATTGAGACTGGGAGGACAATCCCACATTGGTGGGAGGTAACATTCAGTAGACTTTGGTTGATTTTTCTGTTTTTGCCAAAATAGTCATTTGAGCGAGCCATATGTCTGATGCCCCTGCCATTGGTCGGGGACCCAGCCAGGCCCTCTTGGTCCCCTCTTGCCTTTGTAGCAAATACCTGTGTGTGTAGGAGCACAGCAATCCCTGGCTCTCCAGATTCCTTCTGGAACAAGGAGTCCCACAAGTGGAGTTGTCTGAAATCAGTGTCCCCTGCTGCTTTTGGGAACCATGATCAACTATATAACCCTCACCTTTAGCCTCTGAACCTTAATCAAAACCTCAGTGTTTTAATTAAAGGAGACATGGGGAGAGGATGGGGCGGGGAGGTTTTGTATTTAGCAGAATTGCTTCCAAATCAAGAGAAGGTGGGAGTGTGTTGTGCCTGTAAAAGCAGAGGATTTTTTATCTGGAAATTCTTAGAAGGCGTGCGGAAAATGCAGTTGAATACTTTCCAGGTGTCAGCTGACCCATTGGTGGGCTCTGGCGCACTCTGGTGGCGGCTGAGGGCAGTGGGAGCCAACTCACTGGTAGGAGGGGAAGGAGCTCTCCAGCAGCTAGAGTGAGGGAGCAAGCCATCTCACAAAGGATGTGAAGGATACAGGTTCCGTGTTCCTGAGAGTATCCCCAGGGGCTCGGATGGGAGGGAGAGGGTCTGAGTTCTGTGATACCAGGAGCCCTCAGCTACTGAAATCTGAGGTAAGGAAGAGGTGAAAGGTATTCTTTCTTTTTTGTCAGTCATGGGACTTGACCTCTGGGCCTGGGCACTGTCCCTATGCACTTCAGCACAAGGTGAGTGCTCTACCACTTGAGTCACAGCGCCACTTCCAGTTTTCTGGTGACTCATTTCAGATAAGAGTGGTGGCTCACGCAGGAGGCTGAGATCTGAGGATCACGGTTCAAAGCCAGCCCGGGCAGGAGAGACTGTGAGACTCCTATCTCCAATAAACCACCAGAAAACCAGAAGTGGTGCTGTAGCTCAAGTGGTAGAGCACTAGCCTTGACCTGAAGAGCTGAAGGACAGCGCCCAAGCCCAGAGTTCAAGCCCCACGGCTGACAAAAAAAAAAAAAAAAAAAAAAGAGTCTCACAGACGTTCCTGCCCCAGCTGGCTTTGAACCACGATCCTCAGTTCTCAGCCTCCTGAGTAGCTAGGATTACAGGCATGAGCCACCAGTGCCCTGCCGAAAGGAAGTACAGTGCGCTGGCACAATGTGAGTCTGTAAAGGGCCTGCTGTGAGGGCTCCAGCAGAAACCTGTGGCTATTTACCTTTTCTATTTACTCGTGCCTGTTTCTGAGGACATCCATGCCCTCATAGGAAGAATTCATATTTATCCTCTTGTTCTGTGTCTCCATAGGGTCATTGGCTTCCTGGAAGCTATTGTCTGCATAAAGTTCGGACAAGATCTCTTCTCTAAGACTCAAATACTCTATGTTGTGCTTTGGCTCCTTTGTGTGGTAAGTGATTACTTTTATGTCCACTCCCTCCCAATGTTAATTACACCCCCATGGTGTCTCTTGAAAAGAAAATACAAAACTAGAAATATTTTGGGTACCAAGTCTTCTTAGAGATTCATAGAAGGATGTTCTTAGGGGAACGTGCCTGACGAGCATGGAGATTTTCCCCTCTGGCACAATCCAGACCTCAGGTTTGGACTGGAATATGACCTGACTGGGCAAATGTGTAGAGAAGGAAAGAGTGAGGAAGGAGGGAGGAAAGAGAACGGGTGTCCAGAGGGTCTGAAGGACCATCATGTCCCCACGGTGGCTCAGGATGCTGATGATCTATTTGGGGAGTGACAGAGTGCCCAGGGCAAGTTGGAGGAGGACAGAGGTCACGTGACCTGCTTAGGCCAGGCTGTGTATGCCTGTAGTTGGAGCCTCAAAGGATGGTAAGTGAGGAAATGATGTGCTCTGATTTGTGTTGCAGAGAACAGGAAGATGAGTAGGTGCTGTGGGGTGGGTCCTAGGTGACAAGTGTCTGGCATTGAAGTCTTAGGCACTGAAGTACAGAGGAAGGCCTGCTTTTGAGAACCGTTCCAGAGGTCAGCTCAGCAGGGCACCCGTCCCCTGTGATTGCTGAGGAGGAGCTTGAGGACGACTCAAGGTCTCCACTTTGAACTAGTAGATTGAGGCGGTAGGGGAGATGCCCATGAGAGGAGGAGGCAAATTTGGTTCTGGGTTGGGGTTGCAGGAACTTTTTGAATTTCCAGGAAAAGACCTGTCTCTTTGGGAATTCTAGTCTGCCCAGGACCAGTGGAGAGACTTGGTCATTGGAGATAAAGAATGTAGGAGCTGTTGGGGGCAGGATGGGGGGTGGGCAGCTCGTTCAAGCCATGGGATTCTGTTGAGTTAGGAGACATCAGGGAAGCTGAGAAGCCAGTTGAGGATGGATTCCATGGAGCAGCTGGATTTAAGAGGTAAGACAGAACAATCACAGGACAGGGAGACTGAAGGCAGACAGAGTCTGTGATTGAGGATGAAGGACTTTGGTAGAAGAGGCCACTGGATTAGTCAGCTTTCTATTTCTGTAACAAACCTAAGATAATCAACTTGAAGAGAACAGATCTGTTTTGGCTCACAGTTTTAGAGGCTTCACAGATCATTTGGTCCTGTTGTATTTGGGCCTATGGTGAGGTAGCATATGGTGGTGTGAGCACATGGTAGAACAAAGCCTGTTCACCATGTGGTGGGAAGGAAAGATGGAGGGGCCAGAGACCCATTTTCCCCCTTGAAAGACACCCCCATCCCCTTGGACCTAAGACTCCCCACAGTACTTGCTTCGGCAGCACATATACTAAGACTTCCCACTGTGTCCCACCATTTAGAGGTTCCAGTACTTTGCAAAGTTTTAAGTCAGGGGAGCATGCCTTTAATACATGGGCCTTTAGGAGACCTTCAAGACCAAAACCCATTTACTGACGAAGGAAGAATGGAAACAAGATCCTAGCTCTTTTACACACACACACACACACACACACACACACACACACACACACACACACACACACACACACACACACACACACACTGTGCCCTTTCTTAAAGAGCACGATTTAGCTCAGGAACGAGACAACCATTGTTCAGTAAAAGAGCATTAAGTTACACTGTGCCTCCTACACTATTCAAAAATGAAGCCCCTAATTATTCCCCTTGCTGGGCAAGAGACGTGCATAGAGCTTGAGATTAATGTGGAAGCAAGGATCTCCAGTGCTGATGAATACAGTTGTCTGATCAATAATCACGAATCTTAATGCTCATTATCATACCAAGGAAACCAAGCCAGAACAGTTGCACCTTCCTAGCTACCACACCTGCAGGTCACTGCCGGCCTGGCTCTCATCCCATACAGTGTTCTTTTCTCCCTTCCCCCGCCCTTCTTTAAACAACATTGGTACAATTGCTGGTTTAAACCGAGACTTTGACACTTCAAATGGGTACGTGCCTACATATCCACAGGTGTGATTGCAAACCCATAAATTACAAGCTTTTGTCTCCTGGGAGGAGTATAAAAATGAGCCTCTTTTACTCAGGTAAAGTGGTAGATTTAGCAACCACAGCGGGTCCTTTGTGCAGGGATCAAATGATGAGCACCTGTTGCCTGCCACTTGCCCAAGTTTTTCTGGCCCCTCTGCAAAGCCGGCACTGCCTGCTGCCTGCTGCTGGAGGGAGCCCCAGCTGCTGCCTCACTGAAGAAGGGAAGAACCCTCCCTCTGGTGGTGAAAGTTTGCAATGACAGGCTAATGGAGGGCTCCACCTGCCTACCCTCCCCAGCCCATAAGCCAGCACCAGGTTTGCCAGGAAAAATCTAACTTCCAGCCTCCTATGTGACGCTCAGGTCAGCCCGATGTGCCCACTGCAAAGGACCTAACACATGTACAGTCTGGTACTGGACTTCACATTTGTTCTGCCATTTGAGCCACTACACCCTGCTCCTCCAAAGCCCTTTGTTTTTTGTTTTTTTTTTAAATTGTTGTTTTGCTTTGTTTTTCATTTGGTTTTGCTTTGTTTGGTTTTGGTGGTACTGGGTTTTGAACTTGGGGCCTTCACTTGCTAGGCAGATGCTCTAGCACTTGAACCATACTTTGACCCTTTTTCGCTATAGTTAATTTTAGGTAAGGTCTCTTATTTTTGCCCAGACTACCTTGGAGTACGATCCATCTACCTGTGGCTGCGTGTGTAGCTGGGATAACAAGTGTGCACCAGACATACACAGCTTTTTGGTTGTTTGAGATGTGTTCTCCCTAACTTGATGCCTGGCTTGGCTTTCAACCTCAATTCTTTGCAGGTGTGAGCCACCACACCCAGCTGAAGTTTTGGACTCTTGTATAGTCATCGCTTGATATCCATGGGGGATACCAAGGTCCACTGATGCTCAAGTCTCTTATATAAGATGAACAAAGCCTTTGCACATAGCTTCTGCACATCTTTCGTGCATGCTTGTAATTCACCTCTAAATTATTTACTATACTTGATGTATAACACCAAGTGTTAATAATACCTAAATGTAACACTTAATACAATGTTATGCAATATAGACTGTTCAGAGAATGGTAGTATAAGCACAGTTAATATATTTGATCCACGGTTGATTGAGTGGGCAGTGGGGGGAGCTGTGGTACAGAGAAACAACTATTTTCTTTCCTCATGTTGGAGTATCATTTGAGGGAAAGAGTGTGGGTAACTCTCTCAGGTATGCATGGACACACGTCTCATTTCGGTCAGATCCTTTCAAAAAATGGCTACCTCTTTATTCTCCTGTCTACTTAAGTAAGAGACCCAAAAGCTATAAGAACAGAGGTCAGGGTGGGGCTGGTCACTCAGAAGCCACTGGGAAAGGGCAGCCTTGTCTTGCCCAGCTCTGCTGGACACTGAGCTGTTTGTCCTTCTTGCCCTCAGGCACCTTTGGGGCAGGGCTGAATGAGACTTCTTTTCCATTCAGAAATTCTCCTTCCCCACGCTGAGACTTATGGCCAGTGATGAAGGCAGGGAGGGGATAGGCCAAGAAAATCAGCAGTTCAGAGCCCTTCCATCCAATCAGCTTCTTCCTGAACAGAAGTCGCAATGCCCCTCCCCCATCCGAGATCAGTTTGCAATTCTGACGTAGTCAGAAGTGGCCACTGTGGCCTCTTCCTAACTTGCTTGGTCACAAGCAGGTGCCCCAAGGCCCACTCATTTTCCTGTCAAACCTGGTCATTGTGTAACAAGCCTGTCTGGACAGACGGCAGAATTGTGCTTCGCCCTCCTCTGTGGTTCCCATGGAAACCCAGAACTTCCGGGAAGTAGAGCATTTTTGTGCGTCATCATTTGTAACATGGCTGTGTGTGTGTGTGTGTGTTTCTGTCTTCCAGGCCTTTACCACATTCTTGTGCCTGTATGGCATGGTCTGGTATGCGGAGCATTATGGTCACCGGGAAAAGGTGAGCAAGAGGCAGAGTTGGCCTTCCTTTAAAGTAATCTCCTCAGGCCTAGAGGGTAGCCCCAAGCACATTCTTGGAAGAAGGGGGCCTTGTGGGGGAGTGGGGTGGTCCTTAAGTTCTGTTCCAATAGAAACTTAACTGAGCCAGGATTCATTCTTTCACTAGCTGGTCCTGCTTCGGTCTGGGCAGTCAGTAGGTCAGTATTTGTAAGAGGGGTTGAAATCTTAGTTATATGTTTTATAAAACAGGTAGAAGTGGGAAAGCCTTGGACCCATCTCTGTGTTGTATTTGCTTTGGGGGTTTGCCTCTTCATGAGATCCCGCCTCACCGGTCCCATCTGCAGTCAGCAGACACCTGCGTTTCCTCTCTTAGTCCCTTAGGGGCAGAGCAGTAGAGACTAGGTGTGAATGGGTTTAAACACTAGAACCATCTTTGTCAGCAGTGCTTTTTTATGCAAAAATAATGCCTTTATCCTTTAAACTTTAATGTAAAACATAAGGCACTTTCTAGAAAGTTGCTTCTCTATGACTTAACAGAAGAGCTTTTTTGTTTTGTGGTCGCTCTCTAGGTTAGGATGAGCTCTAGGGTCAATTTTTGCCCAGCTAGTCCTCATAGGAGAAGCCTGAAATTCTTTTCTTAGTAAGCCTGTCTCTCTCCCTAGACCTATTCAGAGTGTGAGGATGGCACGTACAGTCCAGATATCTCCTGGCATCACGGGAAAGGTAGGAAAATTATCTTTTTCTTGCTCATTGTTTAAAACTTTCCTGGGTCCTCTCTCTGTGCCTGTGGGGTGATTGATACTCAGTCTCTGAGCACTGGTGATGTAGACCTCAAAGGGCTCAGATCTCTTGTCACTTACTAAGTAATACACATGGGCTGGAAGTGATAGTGATACCTCCAGATACTTGGGAGGCTGAGGGAGGAAGATCACAGCTGGCTTGAGCAACGGTTAGTGTGAGACCCTATCTGAAAAACAAGGCAAAAGCACTAAGCACATGCCCTGAAGGCTAGAGCACTTACCTAGCACTCAGGAGGCTCTGAACTCAACCCCTGGTGCTACAGGAACAAAAGGAAGGAAAAAAAAAAGGAATCATGCACCACACTCACAGAATCACAAGAATGTTCTTCCTCTGGGCTTTTGTCATGAGTGAAAGGGTTAGAGAGCGCTGTCCGAGAGTGGGGAGGAGGAAGAGGCTTTCAGAAGTGGGTCAGCTTAATGGTATTTGTGTAGGAGGCAGAGCAGGGGAAAAAGGGAATTATAATAGTGTAGTGAAGGATCATCCATTGGGCTTTCTCCAGAGAGGGCCCTGTGGTCATTTGAAAGAATGAGATTTGGTGGAATCATGAAACTAGAAGGCCTCATTGGCCAGTGGTTCCTTGTCAGTTCTTATGAAGTTATTGGGAAGCAGGGCCGAGGGGAGACAGGAGCATGTGGGGAAGATGCTCACTGAGCCAGAGCGGTTTCTTGTCTGCAATCCTCCAGGGCCATGCTTTTACAGATGGCCCTGGAGAAATGCAAATATAAACCATGCTGAGTTGCTGTACAGTTTCTTACAAATCCAGGAAATCAAGCCACAGCTGTTTTGTAATGTTGATGTAGATGGGGAAGGAGTTGTGCCTCAAGCCCGCCTTCTTTAGAACCATTCACTTTTAGACTAATCTTGGTCTCCTTTGGATTCTCCACTGAAAAGAATTCAGCAGTGGTAGACAGAACTGACCAAAAAAAATGCCTGCAGAGTACTAAAAGTGTGGTTTCAACTAACAAATGATATTTACAGTGAGACAAACCTTTTGTCTGGGGACTTTCCCTTTTTTTGATGTTGGTGGAGGTTTCCCCTAAGGTTGCATTGAAGTCCTAGGGTAGAGAGTACTTTGGCTCAGTGCTTGGCCAGGGGTTACCTGTAGCCCAAGGAAACTTAAGACTCTGAGGCTCCATCATGGGCATCAGGGATCTGGTTTGTCACTCTCCTACTTAATGGCATTAATTTTATAAAGTCAAGAAACATTTCTGTGGGCTCTGGTGGCTTATGCCTATAATGTTAGCTACTCAGGAGACTTGAGATCTAAGGGTTGTGATTTGAAGCCAGCCTGAAAAGTCTATGAGACTTTTCTATGGCTCAAATGGTAGAGCACCAGCCTGAATTCTAAAAGCCAATGGAGCATGATCTGACCCAAAGTCCAAGCCCTGGTACATCTATAGACACAAAAAGAATCCTTTCCCAATTGAGAAGTTTAAAACCATGCAAAGTATGCAAACTTGGCCAACCTGACCTTTGGTTTCAAGGTCAGGATGGACACCCATGTGGTTTGAGTTTCAACAGTCCTGTAGTTTGTGCTTTGAGTTCATTGGTACTTGCTAAGCTCCTCCCCTGTGTCGTTATCATCACAGTCTATCTTATACCATGTGGATGTAAACCACTTCATTTCTGTATGGTTGTTGCCTTAACACACCCAAGGCACCACCTGAACCCAATTCAGTGTTGAGCCTTCTGCGTGGTCAGCCTTCATTTCTTAATGAGGGCGCTAGAGGGCGAGCGGGGATCAGGGATGAGCCTGTTCCCAGCTGAGCAGGCCAAGGCTGGTTAGTAAAGGAAAAGCCACATCATAGGAGTTTTGGAAGCCCAGCAGCGCCTGGTGACCATGGACTCTGCTTCCCTTCACCAGGTTCTGAAGATAGCCCACCCAAGCATTCAGGCAACAACGAAAGCCATTCTTCCAGAAGGAGGAACCGACATTCCAAGTCCAAAGTCACCAATGGAGTCGGGAAGAAATGAAAGACCCTGGTTGATTAGAGATGTTCCAGAGAGTGCCTAGAACTGCAAGGAAACAGGACTCATTTGGACCTTCCCATCAGAAGATCAAAATATACAGGGCAAATAGGAACAGGAAGGGAGTCAGGGAGGGTCCTGATTTGAGAGCATAAGTCTTGTTTCCGCAAAACCTGGCCACATCAGACAGACCGTTGCCTGGAGTTCTTTGCCAATCTGGGGTCTCTCCTAACTTCAGCCCTTGGCATGAGGTCATTACTAACACTGCGGTGTGTTGGAAGGACAAGGTAGCTGCTGGCTGTTCCCAAGAGCAGCTCTGTGCTGCTGTATCTTTTGGATGCAGATAAGCTTCTTCATTCAGAACAGCCTTAACCAGGTGGTTAATGGACTGGTCACTGGCTTTTATTTTTGTGAGTCTGTCTTTCCATTTGATTTAAGTTGAGGCTACTGGACTGTCTCTTATTTTGTTGCTTTCAAGTCAGGAAATTTACAAGCCTCCAGAATCCACTGCTGAAATTGAACACAAGGGGAGGCTTTCCTTTTAGAGACAAATTGGGGGGCGGGGGGAGGAGAGCGGAGAGGCTTTTGTGTTCCTCTCTAGCAACTCTGACCCCTTTGAGTACATCAAGCTTTCCACGTTAGGTGACCAGCAGTCTGCGAAAGGCTAGCTGCCTGTGTTCCCAGTGGCAACCTTTTTGTTTCCTTCCAAATGTTACGTGTCCAGATTTATCTACAGCACACAAAAGCCACCCTGCTGCAAAAGGGCATGACACCATGGCTCTTCCTCTGCCAGGTGCCTTCTCCGTGTGCTCGGGTTCCTTCCACGTTGCGTTTGCCCGTGTTGTCTCTTAGTCCTGTGTGAGGTTCTGGTGAGTATTGCCTTTCATCCGTGCCATGCTCTAGCACATTCTCATAGTTTTCCACCTCTGATGGATTCCAGTTTTAAATAAAACAATTCACATTAAAGCCTGTTGAAGGTCTGTCTTTGCAAAATTCCTAGCACTGGTATTTCCATGGTTGGCAGGAATCTGTATTGTTCAGGTACCTTTAGGGAAAAAAGTATTATGCCTGTGTGGTTTATATGGTGATGAGGAACAAAAGAAAAATATTTATTGTAAAAGGCATATATATATATATATGTATGTATGTATATATGTATCCTCGTTCTTGACCTTCCCATATTCTAGTTCATGCCCCATTGGAAACAAACAATATAGTCATTGTTTTTCCTCTATGGTATGGTTACTGGGTTGTATTTTCTTTCTCTAGCAAGTAGAAGGGTCATACTTTTTTTTTTTTTCCTGCTAAAGAACTCTGAGGTGAAGGGGTTAAATGAATCATGCAGAGCCAGGGTCACATCCTGTGCTCTAGGCAACAGCTCTGTCCAGAGCCACCCACAGACTTGCTCCTGCAGCCAGACATGGCAGGGAGCAGAGCATCCGCGATCGCTGGCCCACACCATGGGACAGATGTATGGGGAGCTGTTGGGGGTGATTCTGAACTTCCCTTTGCCTTCCAGCAGCATCTGAAGCCTTCCAATAAAAGTACTGAAGAGAAAGAGGAGCCTACTGCATACCTGCCTGCACCATCACCACCCCTCCTCCCCCGTTTGAACCCAGGGTCTGGAACATATTAAGCAAATGGCTTTGCCAGGAGCTTTTGCCTTGCACTCTTCCCATCTGAAGCTTTTTTGAATATAGTTACAATTTCTTTTCTTTTTCTTTTTTTTGCTGGTCTTATGGCTGGTCCTGGGCACTCAGGGCTAGTGCTCTACCACTTGAGCCACAGCACCACTTCCAGCTTTTTTGAGTAGTTTATTGGAGCTAAAGATCTCACAGAGTTATCTGCCCATGCTGGCTTCAAACTGCGATCCTCAAATCTCAGCCTCCTGAGTAGCTAGGATTACAGGCATGAGCCACCAGCACTCGGCTTATAGTTACAATTTTTAACTTTACAATAGATAACATTTGTTTAGTTTCACTCTGCATTTTGCTTTCTGAATTGGGAAAGCTTACATTCTTCCTCCATGGTGTCTGTACCCATGGCATGTCACTGAGAATTTTCAGGTTTGTTTTCCAGCAGAGATGGGCCTGGTACCAAAGCACTCTGCTGGCTAGTCCAGTTCCTCCAGAAGAGGTCCATGACTTTTCTCTACCACCAGAGAGAGGAGGTGACCTATAGATTGGGTGGTTGAGTTCAACTTTGCTCTGGCATAAATCAAAGAGCGAAATATGCATGAGAATTTTTCTTCTGTGGCGTTGTAGGAAATAGCTAGGAAAGTCCTTCAATACTTTCCATACATTTTCACTGAATTTAAACTTTCTTTTTCCCCTTTCAGCCAGTGCTGTTGACTATAGCAGTTACAAAGCCAGTACTTTCCATGACTGGCCAGAGCCACAACTACCATTTCTCCTCCCAACCACACTGCTGGGCTTGGCCTACTTTTCCACCGTCTCTATGGCAATGGACTTAACATTGATGAAAATAGAATGTCTCAAAGTCAGCCTTCAGGATCTGAGATGATTTGATTGTACATCACCTCATACCAACTACAAATTACTGTCTTTAAAGACAGCACTGCTGAGGGCATGAAGCATGGTGATTGCTTTAATGCATTTTTCTCCATAGATCTTACTGTATTGAGTGTTACGCACTCTTCTTTGCTTGTCATTCAGTTCTTAGAGTGACGCTGAGTTGTCTCAGGCCTCATCCACTGTTTTTCTGTCCACTTCACCATTTGTAAAAGCTTTGGCCAAACTACCCTCCTGGTTGTGCTAGTATGTGCCACTGACATGTTTATACAATGACAGAAAGCATCCTGGAAATGACTGTCTTCCTTACATCAGGACTGCTATTTTAGCTCCAGAGTCAAGTTCTCACCCAGGAGAAAGAAAACTCATTAGCAAGTTCATCAGCTTCAGCCCCATTGGTCTTTCCTCATAAGCCACTGACTCCATAGCATCCGGATGCAAAGCCTGCTGTTGTTGAAAGTGGACTTGCAGAGAGTTTTGGGTTCAGTGGTGCATTAAGGGGACCTCACAGAGTTACTAAGGAGGAAGGAGGTTGGACCCAGAAGGGTAGGTCTAGTCTATAGATTGGGAAAGAAGAAATGTAACTGTTGGAGCTGGATTGCAATGAGCCCATTGAGCCTGCAGTGTATTCTCTGCTGTCCACATTGTACTCAGTGGCTTCTGTGAATTCCTGCGCCCACCAAGATGTGTACCAGATGAGTGTTGTTGACATCCTTCTTATTATTAGGACAGCTAGAAACCCCACAGGCAGACCATTACAGTGCTTGATGTATTTCCCATTCGTGTGATGGAAATCAGAACGTGAGAGTGGGCTGTGACTGTTGATAAGTATTCCATCACCTAATGGAACACCTCTTTTTTATACATGTATGCACATTTCCAGGACTAGTTGAGATTTTGTTCTTTGCAAGGGTCACTATGGGAATGGTTGAGACTGGTGGATTGCAGTATTGCTAACTCATAATTACAGCATTTCTGCTAACTAGTTTTTATTCTAAACCTAAAGATACATAGGTGAGGGTTGCAGTACTTTTTTTTTTTTTTTTTTTTTTTTAAATTTTATTTTATTTTATTTGAGAACATACTGTACAGAGGGGTTACAATTACATGGGCAGGATAATGCATACATTTCTTACCAAGCATTGCATCCTCCTCCTTTGTTTACCCTTCACCTCCCTTCCCAGCCTCCCCCCTCCCTCCCACCCAATCATACCCCCCCTCCCCCCCCCCCCCACCGACATTGTAAAGCTGGTTTTGACATGACATTTTGTACTTCTCATTGTTGCAACAGGTCCACCTGAATCCTTAAACGACTTGTTTGTCCCCGTCTCCTCCACATGTTATACTGACATCAAATATAGTGAAAGCAGGGGTTACACTGTGGGGGAGGGACACACAAAGCAACAAAGAAATAATCTTATAAATGCATTAGAAACACATGCATGAAAGAAACAAAAACATTAAAATACATATTTGAGGTTTTGTTTTCCTAACATCACATTATCTGACTTTTTCCGCTTGACTCATACCTATACTAGATATTGCAAATAAGGGAAACCATGGGACCTATGTTTCTTTGGGCCTGGCTTACTTCACTTAATATAATTTTTTCCAAGCCTTTCCATTTCCTAACAAATGGGGCAATGTCATTCTTTCTGATGGAGGCATAGAATTCCATTGTGTATATATACCACATCTTCTTGATCCATTCATCTACTGAGGGGCATCTGGGTTGGTTCCATGTCTTAGCTATGGTAAATAATGCTGCAATAAACATAGTTGTGCTGGTAGCTTTAGTGTGGCCTTGTTTGTGATCATTTGGGTAAATGCCCAAAAGTGGGATTGCTGGGTCGTTGGGGAGCTCTATGTGGAGTCTTTTGAGGAACCTCCATACGGTTGCAGTACTTTTTAAGACCAAATTTGATGCTGTAAATAAATACGGCCTTTTGAAACTGCTCTCTTCTGTGAATTTAGAGAAATCATTGACGTCTACAAAAGAAATGAGGGACTTGTATTGTTTTTATTGGTAAGCATACTGAAACCCTTGCCTCTGATGTCCATTCTAAAACTGCCATTAGTACATTCCAGAAATGTCATCTGTGGTTAAGCGCTGGTGGCTTGGACCTGTAATCCTAGCCACTCCGGAGGCTAAGATCTGAGGATCGCAGTTGGAAACAAGCCTGGGCAGGAGAGTCTGTGAGCCTCTTATCTCTAATTAACTACTCAACAGCCAAAAGCAGAACTGTGGATCTAGAGGGCTAGTCTTGAGCAAAAAAAGCTAAGGGACAGCACCTAGGTCCTGAGTTCAAACACCATCCCCTTTGTGGCCACAGCTGGACACCATATACAGGCTCAAAATAAGCCCAGATCCCTTCCAGGGTTCACATGGCTCAGGTGAACTTACACTTTGTAATTTTCAGAAAGTGTGATACTCTTGTTTGTTGAAAACCAGTCTCCAGGTTCAGCTTACCTGGCTGGCTAAAGAGGTAGGTGACAGACAAGCTTTCTACCCAGACTCATAGTAAAAGAGGCTCCCAAGCCAGCAGCCTTATTCTCATGGAGAAGAGATTGGAGCATCCAGTTAAATCTGCTCCTCTTCTTAAAGCTCAACAAAGCCACTAACATCTTTCAGAAAGATATTGCCAGAGGGCTTTGCTTTCACAGCTGAGTCAACTCCTAAGCCACTTCAGCTGACCTGGGCTCTTGTACTTTTTGTGCTTTTGTGTTAATGACTGTGTTTTCTTCGCTGTTGGAATGTTCTAAAAGCATCATGCCGCCCAAGGCCTGCATGTTGCGGGGCCCCATGATGCTCTGGGATAGCAAGAAGATTTCCTCACCACCGCCTGACCTCCTCCTGTTCCCAGGAATCAGAACTAGAGTTCCAGGGCAGGGTGTGTCTCTTTTCTGGATGCTGAGTAAAGGGGGCTTGTGGCTTTACAGACCACAGGAAATGAGATGGTGTTCCCCGCCCCCCCTTTTTTCTTTTTCTGCCTTTAAAAGAAAATGATTTCTTAACATTTCAGACCAAAGAACCAAAAGATTGCATTTTCACATCTGAACTATACACACAATAGCCTTAATGACAGGGTCAAGTTGCAGGCTGAGTTGTAGAATGCTCTGTGCTTGGAAATGTGTGCTATAAGCCTGACTCATCCCACTGCCCTAACAAAGGGTTGCTTGCGCTCTTCCTGGTCCATCTGACTGCTATATAACATCATGGGCTGGTGAGGTAATTTATGGGGCAACTCCCAGGACAGAATAAAAGATCTCGAGCATGCACACTGAATGTTTAGGATCCTTCACCTTTGAGTGAAGGAAACCCATTCAGGAGCAGGAGAATCTCACCAAGGCTTCCTTATGACTAATCTTCCAGACAAAGTCTTTTGGGGGATAGATGCCCCTGCGGAGGGCTCTTAGAAGCTCATTTTGCTCATC